TGGAGCGTGCTTCACTGAAGGAAAAGCAAGCAGTATTTGATGAAGTAGCGTTACATGCGCAATCTTTGATGACCGATGTTTTTGGAAATTATGTAATACAAAAATTCTTTGAGTATGGGACTAACGAGCAAAAGAATATTCTCACAAATGCCGTAAAGGTACCTGTTAAACATCTACTGATTAATAAGTTGTAGAAATGTGTGAATCTGTATAAAGTAATTATTGGTGGTGTAAGAAAGATTTTTTCGCACATATTGATTGCAAAGATATTGAGCATACTGTAGGAAATACTAATTACCTTCTTTATCACACACACATCATATGTGAGAAATTTTCAGGGCAATGTTATGTCACTGGCATTGCAAATGTATGGATGTCGTGTCATTCAAAAAGCTCTGGAAAGTATTGAACCGGAACAACAGATGGAAATTTTAAAGGAAATGGAAGGACAGGTGATTAGATTTGTGTTATTATGTTTTTGAATTTTTGGATGCATATTTTAAAGTAGTATGATCTTGCCCTTAGCAGAATTTGTACATTATGTTTGCCATAGTAGAGTGCACAGGGTGGCAAAAAGTTTTTGGAGATTGACATTTCGTGAAAGTAATTTAAATGTCAGGTGTTGAAATGTGTCAAGGACCAAAATGGAAATCATGTAGTACAAAAAGTTATTGAACGCGTTGATGCTTCACGATTACAATTTATTATTGATGCTTTGGTTCCTGCAGGTGACAACATGACGGTATGTGCAATTGAAGGCTCATCTTGATTTTCGTTTTTCGTATTTGATTCTTTTATAGATTTTGTGTTTCAACTTCTTTGAAATCGAATTTTCGATAATAAATTACAATTACTTTCGGAATTGGTAGTGGCGCTGTTATAGGTATGCAATTTATCAACGCACCCATATGGCTGCAGAGTGATTCAGCGTGTACTAGAGCATTGTACAGACGACCAAAAACGGCCTGTGTTAGACCAGCTTCACAAGCATGTCAAAAGTTTAATTGTGGATCAGTATGGCAACTATGTCATCCAGCATGTTATTGAGCACGGCTCTTTGGAGGACCGCGATCGTATCGTCAACCAAGTTAAGGTTGGTAGTTAATATTTTTGTAGGTTTAAAGAACATTTTACTTAAACCAAGTCATGCTTGTAATTCAATGAATCTAGTCATAGGAAATTTAGGTATTTCATAAGTATATTCCATATCCGCGATCTTTCTTATTTTCAACTTAGTGTCCCAGATGTTCTTCATTTGGAAATGCTTTTTTTGCATATAAGAACAGGGGTGATAACACTACGGAATAGAGTGAGTGACTTAGTTGTTAGACAATGCTTATGGGAACTACTGAAATGTGATTTTCTTGTTGGGATGAAGAATTCACGCAAACAGGTGATTTATTGCACTTTTTCAGGGTGATGTCCTTCGTTTCGCACAGCACAAATTTGCATCAAATGTAATCGAGAAATGTTTAACGTGCGGTGAACCACACCATAAGAATGCCTTGATTACTGAAGTTTGTGGCAACCCAAACGAGTTAGTGTTCTTTTTTTTCATATTTTATTAGCTGTCGCAGAAGATTCTGTTTAAGTAAGATTGTAATAGCTTTTAGTTTCTGTTATGTAGTATTCGCTCAACTTATATCCTGATTGAAATATGCAGTAAAAATAGTTGAAGTCATATTATTAACTCTGCTTCCCACTGGTTGTTTGTACTTCGCTCAAGATCTGTTGATCAGATGGTAATTTCAGTTTATGATTGAAAATGCTTAATGATATATGTTATATAGTATATTATTTGTATGCTGAAGATTTTGATTTAGATCCACTATAACAATCATAAAGTGGAGCTGTAACTTTTTGAGTAATAAAGTAACTTTGGTTACTATCATCAAACGATTTTTTAGCTATTTTATGAATATCTGACACTTTTGAGAGCGCTCAAATGTTTTCAGTATTGCTACACCACTTTTGATGATGATGAAAGACCAATTTGCTAATTATGTTGTGCAAAAGATGTTGGATGTAGCTGATAGCGCTCTCCGGAAAAAGATGATGCTAGCTATTAAACCGCATATTCCTGCACTGCGAAAATACAATTATGGGAAGCATATTATTAGTGAGTTTGTTGCCTTTTGACCATATATATTTCTTGTCATTGGAGTTTTAAAGCATTTTTTAATCAAATTTTTACTACAGCTAAACTGGAAAAATATTTTCAAAAACAAAATGGTGGATTGCCAATAATGCAACCGGATTATTCATCAATGAATTCGATACCAATAATTTAAATGATTATGACAAATATTGATTGCTACATTATATGATGATCTAACTCGATTGGAATAGAAAAAAAATGGAAAATTTTGGATAAAACTGATTGATTAAGTCAATCTCGGAGTCGTTTTATGAAAATATTTCGACGCACCGTGTATTATGCCGTTGGTCTGATTTTGTTTGTAATCCATTAAAAAAAGATGGGTTGCTGTATATTTTGTTAAACTTTGAAGTTAATGTGCTTTTTCTTTTCTTTCCATTTTTGTTACCGAAATCATTGTTGCACTGTAGAGATAAAACTAACATATTTTTAATCTTTGGTGGTCCTACCTATCGGTAGATAAAATGAAACAGTTTGGTAGCTGGTAATCGTAACTTTTTAGTGAAAACGTTTGTTTGCTATGGGGTTACACTGTCACCACTAAGAGAAATATTTACTTTGTTGGTAGGGCTAGTAATATTCTTTTCGTCAAGAAATAGTTGTTCGATTTTGCTTGAAATATGGTGAGTTTTTATTTCTATTATTTTTTCAATTATTTTCGATAGTTATGATTATTACTATTATTATTATCGTTATTATTATTACTATTATCATTATAATTATATTATTACTATTAATTATTATAACGACTACTATTACGAATTCATTATTTCAATTATATTATTGAACAGAGCTGTATTGGTTCAGCGTTATTAATGGAAGAGATAAAACTGTATAATCAAAGTTTATTCTGTAGCGAATTTTACCGTTTAATGTGGCCGTTGAAAATTTTAGTCATTTCAAAAGAAATAATTGTTTTTTTTTTTTTTTTTTTGCAGTTTAAACCACTTTATATAACAACCCTTTAACTTGTTTTTGTTTCTTTTTATTGTCAGTATAATATATTGCACAAATGATACCGGTTTCGTTATTGTTACTATTATTATTATTATCACTATTATTATATTAATATTATTATTTATTTTTATTATGATTGTAGGATTTTGTATTTGAATTTGTAAATTTTTTGTTTTTTTTTTTTTTTTTCTTGGTTGACAATAATTTCTTGTAATTTTTCCTTTTGTACCTCGTTTAAGTTTCTTTTTTACACTTTATCTTTTTTCAGTAGCCATGTTATTATTTTCGTTATTCTCTTTTTTTTGTCTCGTTTCTTGCATTGTTAGATTGTGCATTCTGTATTTTTCAACTGACCGATTAACTGAAAGATGGGATTTTTTTATTCAATGGCTACTTGTGAAGGGTCAAATTTTTCCTCTCATGTCTCAGCAAATTTTATGGAAAGAAAATCGGATCTTACTTTGGCCTATTAGTAATGATATTTTATCTATTTTAATGAAGAGAACAGAGTGTTAATATAAAAAAGTATCTCTCGAATGAATTTCACATTTTGTTTCCAATTTTTTCCAGCGATAATCATTTTTGTTTTTTTTTTTACCAGGCGTTCTCTCTCAGAGTTGTTTGGACGCTCTTATTTTTTGAACGGCTCTATATACTGTAGCTTGTATACAAGGTTTATTTTTTGTAATTTTTTGTATATTGTTGAACACAAATATGTTTTTTTTTTTTTTGTTGTGAAACATTGAAAATTGTAACTCTATGATGATATCCTCTTATTATTATAACATATGGGGCATGAAATTTATGTTCTTTGTCAAGAAATATAACATAATCATAACTATTACTAAGCGGACAGATGATAATAGAACTAAATTGAATTGAATATGTAATAGATGGAAGGAGAATGTTTTTATGTGACCTTATTGATTATTGGTTTAATTGAAGTAAAATTTAGAATTGCTAAATATAGACAAATCTTCTGAATATTTTCTTTATATTCTCTTCAGTTATGTATCTTTTTCGTATATGTATGCATATAACGTTGAAATATTGTTGATAAATGCATCAGGAATGATTGTTTGTGTAGCATTGTGTTTATACAGTATGCAGAGCATTCAGATAATGCTCTATCATATTATTTTCATATTAAAACAAACAATATATATTGTGTTTATGGGGATAGAAATAAATTATATTATTCATGCACTTTTCTCATCTATGAAATTATTTAGCACAAAATTAGATTAAATTTCAATTAGAGGTTCATTGATTGACTTTAAGTTGATTTCCATTTGTCTTTTTTATCATTTAATTGGTTTTTTGGACTGTTTAGTTCAATTTTTTATCTTCTATTTTACAGATCACTATTGAGTTATTCTATAGATTGCTAAAGATTTGAGCACAATTCTATATAATAATAATAATAATAATAATAAATTTTTATTGAGTTTTATATTGTAATTATTAGATAGGCAGGCATGATTTATAAAGATTTTTCATAGCGGTATCGAATATATGATATTATTTGTCGTTAAGTTTATGTTAGTTTCACGTTACTCTTCTTTTTTTTTTTGGCTTTGTAGGAAGTGGAAATAATAATAATAATATAAATTAGTTTTGGGAAGAATGAAATGAACAAATTGAATAATTGCTAACAGAGTAATGATGTTCAGCTATGTAATGCTGAAATGAATTAATGTAAGGAAAAAGGGACAGTATAAGAGGCAAGGAAATATAGCAAAAAATGGGATAATTTGGGGAATTAAATTAAAATGTGGGAATAATGAATGGCAGCAAAGATTTGAAATTAATCTTCAAATGAGTCTTGTATCTTGCTTATTGCACATTAATTTATAAGACTTTTTGTTTATTTATAGCTATAATTATGTGGAATCGAAATGTAATCAGGAAATTAATACGATATGGTAGTGGTGGTGGAGTGTTAACAACTGCTGCTGCTGCTGCTGCTGCATTAGCAGGATTTGTTGGTTATGATGAAAATACTGGTATAATCAAATCATTGAAACATTCAAATATGAGCAAGTGGCAAGTGGAAGGACCTTTAAAGCATCCTACTGATGGAGCATTAATTGCTAAACGGGTTAGAAAATAGTAACAATAATGGTGAAAAAAAAAAAAAAGTTAAATATGGATTATTAATTGAATAAAAAAGTTTATTTTTGTAATTAAAATTCAACAAATAACTATTATTGTAAATGTTTTTATTGTAGATTGTGAGTGATTATGATCATACGGATTTGAAGTTAAGACTTTATCAATATGAAGCATGTCCATTTTGTTGCAAAGTTCGTGCTTTCTTGAATTATTATGGTTTTTCGTATGATGTGGTTGAAGTTAGTCCATTAACTCGAAAAGAAATCAAAAATTGGATGGTGTTAGCAAGGTTTGTACTTTTAAAAAGTATAATGTAATGCTGATTATATTTCTTTTCCTGTATTACTCATTAATAATGAAATAATTAGTATAAATGAGATTTTTTTTTTTGTTTCATCTTTTTCTTTAGCTACCAACTGTAATTGCTCAAATGGATCGAAAATTGAGTGATTCTTCGCTGATAATATCAATTTTGACAAGTTATATGACACGAAGTGATCGAAGTTTGGATGATGTAATTGAATTTTATCCAGAACAAACGAATGTTATAAAAGAAACGGGAAAAGAGATAGTCACACGTCCCAATATGTATAAAATTATGACATCTTTGAATAGTATGTCAAAAATGGAACAGGAAAATGCGAGGTTATTTTTACATTCATGAACATTTTTTAGATTAATTTTAATTGCAATCAATTTAATCATATCTAAATTTTGTGTTTGTTTTTTTTTTTTTTTTTTTCTGGTTACTTGCAAGTAAGATTATTCCGGTGTTATATTTTTTTCAATTTTTTAATTTAAACTTTTGTGAAGGAAAGAAGAGGAATGGCGTAAATGGGTTGATGATCATTTCATTCCTTTGATAGTACCGAATGTGTATCGTTCATGGAATGAATGTATTGAAACATTTCGTTGGTTTGGTGAAGCAGGACAGTGGGATAAAGTGGTACCTGCATGGGAACGTTATGCTACCATTTATCTTGGTTCAGTAGCCATGTATTTTTTGTCGAAAAAACTTCGCAAAAAGTAAGTTAGATTGTTTTTTCTTTTTTGTTTTCTCAAAAAGGAAAAAAAAAAAAGACGATGGAAAGAAAATGAAAATAATTTATTCTTTTAATTGTAGTAATTACTGTTTAACATAATTTAACTGTAATTATAATTAGAAAGATATTTTTAGATATGATGATGCTGATGTTCGTCAACTTTTAATAGATGCTTGCAATCAGTGGATGAATGCTGTGGGAAATTCATCGTTTCTTGGTGGTCAACAGCCTACTTTGGCTGATTTGGTCTATCTTGCTCTATATTTTTCTTACTCTACTTTTAAACACTTTCAAATATTTCATATTTCATATCTAAATTTTATATTTCATGCCTAAATAAGCGATTTCCTTTAAATTTATCTTATTCATGTATCGAAAGGTTATGCTTACATACTCAGTTTAGACGGAAAAATATTATCCTAACATATTAGTAAAAAATATGATCTACCAAGATTAGTAAAGTAGAAGTGAAAGAAAATAATAGCTGTTAATATAAATTTTCTAATAGTTTCTTCCTTCTTTTTTTTTTGTCTGAACATCTAAAATGAAAAAAAAAAAATCATGAATGCTACTTTAAGGTAACTTTAAATCTTTCATTCTTTTTATTTGCATTTTTACTACAAAAAAAAAACTGAAAAAAAAAGTCTTTTCCAAATAATTTCTTGATTTTCAGGCACTCTATGGAGCAATGAATTCATTTCTGGGTAGTGCAACATTTAATGAACTTTGTGATAAAACTCAAATTAAAGCATGGTTTGAACGAATGCGTGAAGCAGTTGATTCGAGAGCAGGAGCAACTTTACTTCAGCAAAGTTGTCACAAGAGACTACAATCATAAAATATATATTTTTGTTAGTTAATATCTGTGCTTGCATAGCATAGACGTGCTATCCTTTAAAAAAATACTATTTTCATCAGATGACGCATATTTATAAAATTAGATTGAAAAGTAACGCTACCTTCTGCTTTGCACTATATTTGTTCCGTGGTATTTGTTATGTATTTCATACTGCTTGCATTCGCTTTATCTCGACAATACTACCTTTTCAAGCTTTAAATTGAATATTACTAGATAACACTGTTGAATAATAAATATTATTTATGAAATTTTGCATACATGAAGTATCATTACGTTTCAATCCGTTCCAGATTTTTAGCTAAAAAGTTATTCCTTGAATCTGATGGAAATAAGTATGAAAATACTAGCGTATGCAAACTGATCTTGAGTGATATTGTTAGGAAATAGAATTTCGTAAAGAATATAAAATATGAATTGTTGTGTTAGTTTTTTTCATGCATAAATGTTTCGATGAATGTCAATTTTGTTCCCAAACTTAATCCTACTGCTCAATTCTGTTTATTATTTAAAAAAAAAATTGTTTGTTTGTTTGTTTGTTTTTTTTTTAACCATCAAATAGATCTATAATATAAATTTAAATGTTTTTCTCTGAATACTAAATTATAATATATAATTCCTTATATGGGAATAAGTATAAAAATACCAGAAAGTATACGTAATACATTGATTGATTTGAGTGATATTGTTTAGATCAATAAGATTATTTGTTAAAATTTATTAACCACTACTAAATAGTTTAACATTACTACGATAAATGCTTCCAGTAACATAAATTTCATATCAATATTTAATGCCTTTTAAAAATTTATCACTGTTCCTAAAAAGAAAAAAAAAAAAAGGCGAAAATGTCCGTTACATTTTTCTATTTTAGCTTTTCTATCTTTCTCTTTTTTTTTTTTTTTTGGTTGGTTGGTTGGTTATAAACATTTTTCAATGAATGCTAAAATCAATTTTAGATGTATGTGCTATTTTTCAAAGAAGAAGCTATATGACTTTATATATTCTATTTTATTTTGGAAAAAAAAAAAACTTTTTAGCTTTATTTGTTTTACTTGTTGAAATTATTTATTGATTCTATATGGTTATGTTTTTTTTTTTTTTTTTTTTTTGAAAAACTTATTGAAAAGAATTCATTCATTGAGAAAATGCAAATTAAACTGAACATTATAATATTTTCTCATATTTCTAAAATTTGTAAATGTGTTAGTCATTTTACTAAATTAATTGAATTAAAATAAGTGAATAAATAAGTTTATATATGCTAAGTAATAAGATAAGATTGAAAATTATTATGCATTAATGCTTTAATTCATACTTGGAAGGGATTTCTCTCTCTCTCTCTCTCTCTCTCTCCCTGTTTTCATATGAGAAAATTAATGATAGTACAAAAGCTGGAAAATAATTATTTGTATTTGTAACTATGAGCAATCATATTTTTATTTACTGTTTGTAGTTTTACAAATTGTTATTTGATAATTTTAAATAATAACTTTATGCATTGTAACATTTTCTCTTCTTTCCTTCCCTTTTTGTTTTTGTTTTCCTTTTAGTAATTCTCGATATTTTTTTCAGGGAAATGAAATTTTTTGATTGTTTTATTTTGATTGATTGATTTTTTTTTTGTTTTAATGTTTTCTTTCAGACTTTGTATTGATTGAAAATTGATACTAGTTAGTATTGGTTTAGTTTATTTAATTATATTTAATAATTAGCGTAAAAAACTTTATATATTTAAATCCAAAGTTTAAGTTTTTTATTTTTATTATTACATCTAAGTTTGTATACTTTTTACGTTGACTTTTCAACGTAGAAAATTTAAACTTCTGGCAAGTATAATGTTGATATTAATTATGATAATATTCATATTTTGAAAATATGAATATTAGGATAATCTTACTATTGTTTACAACATTTTACTAACATTTCAAATAATAAATTTACAAATAATTCAAAAATTATTGTTATTATATTATTGCTATTTTTTCTACAATTTGATTGTATTTATTTATGTATTACTTTAGTATTACATAATTAACGTATTATTTTTTGATTAGCAAAGTTTTCTATAACATATCTAGTTATCTCTAATATATCTAGTTATTTAGTGATAATATCATTTTAAAATATTTTTTTTATCAAACTGGCAGAAGTAATTATTTATCTTCTAATCAATATTATTTCCTTTTTTTTTTTCTTCTTCTTTTCTATACATATATCTCAATGTTTTAACTAATTGTGATGTAGTTTAGAATGTTTTGTGTGTGTGTGTGTGTGTGTTTCTTTTTTTAGCGAATATTATTTGTTTATTAATTGATATAATATAGTTTAAAAAATGATTAATTTATTATCAGATAATGAATGTACCAGCTGATTTGAGTGTTTATTTTCCTGATATGCCAATACAAAGGTTAAATGATGTGATGCTCAGACAACTTAATCCACGAAAATGTTGGATTGTTGAAAAAACAATCAATAATATGGGAGCACTTTCTATAGCTGTATGATTTTTTTTTTATTGTTTTTGATTATTATTATTATTATTATTATTATTATTATTATTATTATTATTATTATTATTATTATTATTATTAATTATTGTTAATTATTATTATTATTAATTATTGTTAATTATTATTATTAATCATTACCATCATTTATTATTATATTATTTTTATTACTATTATTATTATCATTGTTATTATTATTGTTATTATTATCATTATTATTATTATTAATTATTACTATTATTAATTATTATTATTGTTATTATTATTATTTTTATTATTATTTTCATTACTGTTACTATTATCATTATTATTGTTATTATTACTACTATTACTTTTATTATTATTATTATTATGGTTATACTAAACTTTGATAATTATATAAGTGTAATGAAAAGTATGCATATATATATATATATTTTTTTTTATCAAAGAAGTGATAAGAATTACTAGCAGTAATAAAGTATCATGCATATTTTTTTTAAAATTTTATAATCAATTTTAATTATTGCTAAATAGTTATCTGATTTATTCATGATATGTTTTAGGCACAAGGATTAAAACGTGTTCTTACCACCTATGATAAGATAATCAATTCAGACGATGGTCAAGTGCTTTATTTGTTGTGGAGAAAAAATCCAAATAATAAGTAAGTGTTTTCTTTATATATTTTACTTAAAACTTTTTTTTTTTGTATATTATATCTATATGGAGTAATTACACGCAAAAGAAATGATTATCACATTTGTAATTATTGTTTTTTTTTATCACTTATCATTTAAGTTTTAATTAAAATTAATAAATTCATTGAACGATTTTTTTTGCAAAAAATTTTAACAAAATAAAAGAAAAAAAAAAGTTTACAATTATGAATTGTTATACTTTCATCTATTATATTACTGTTCATTTATTTATTTATTTATTTTTTATTTGCAGGAATGCGAGTGTAATAATAGGTTTGTTAAAAATTGGCTATAAAAATTTGTACCTAACGGATGAATCTATGCAAACTTTTCAAGTATCACCATTATGTGTGCTTGATTTTTATGTTCATGATACTCTTCAACGACAAGGATATGGACATGCTCTATTTGATTATATGTTAAAAGTAAGATTAATATTTTATTAGCATTATAAATTCATTCATCTTTTCTCTATCAATATCAAATCTTAGTAGCTATATCTATCAATTTTATATGAAGTAAGCTTCATACAATTTGTTAGCAATATTTATTTTTTATGTTGAATGTTTTTTTTTTTTTTTATTTTTCTGTTTATTTTATAGCAGGAAAATTCATCGGCAGAAAATGTTGCAATTGATAAGCCATCTCAATCATTGTTACAATTTATGAATAAGCATTATCATTTAAATGAACCAATATGGCAAGTTACCAATTTTGTTGTTTATCCACCATTTTTTGACAATATCAAATTATGCAATTCCTCGACATCCACCAATAAATTATGTGCAAAATCAGCAAAAGCAGAAATTGAAAATGCAAATAAACAGGTTTGTGAGATAATTTTTCACTATTCTTTGTTAGTGCTATCGAGAAATCGAGAAATTTTTATTATATTTATCAATTAACAGTAAATTTTCTTCTTATCTTTTTTTTTTCTCAAATATATGATATGATTATTTTTGGGAAAATAAATTCTTGAATGTATTTTTCGAAGATTAATTTATATGAATTAAGAATTACATGAATTTTCTTTTTTTTGCAGCAGCAGCAACAGCAGCAGTCTTACGGAACATCTAACATTCGTTATCGTGGACAAGTTGATAATCTAATCCGTGATAATGCTATGATAGGAAGACGGACCGTTGTGGATCCGGAAACGGCTCAAGGAAGAAAAATATGTCGTGATTTTGAGCATCAATCGATATGGTAATTACTACTACTGCTATCATTTACTCTTATCCTGGTCAATAAGTCATAATATATGTATTAAGTGAAATTTCACTCGTCTTGAGCATATTATTCCTTATTCTCGAGCATATTTTTGGTGTAGAATTTATGCTGAATTCAAAAATTACATGGTGTTGTAGTTAAGAGATAATAATAAGTGTTATTAAATTTTGTAGATCATAAAATATAAGCTAGTATAATGCTAAATTTTTTTGCTACGTATTAATATTTTGCCAATCTTTGGACTATCACTATTAAAATTAACTCAACCGAGTACGTTTCACTGACTTAAAAAAAAAAAAAAAACAGAAAAATAAAAAATAAAATCCAGAGATTGATTTTCATTCATAAACTATGATATTTTTTTTTTTTTTGCTGTATGCACTTTTGGTCTCATTTGTTTAATTTTTAATTTGAAGAATACTTTTATTCATAATGTAATTAATTTCTAGAAGCTTTTTGTGAAAGGGTGTATATTGCAGCTTTATTTGTTTGTTTGATAAAAAAAAAAAAAGTATTTATAAATGTTTCATTTAAATATTATTTGTGATATCAGAGAATGATCTTTTTTTTTTTTTTTTGCAAAATCATCATTATTTGTGATATCAGAGAATGATCTTTTTTTTTGCAAAAAAAGATCATTTCATAAAACAGAGCTTCCCATTCAGAATTTTATTTTTGAAACAATCCTTAACAGAGATTTTACCTTCAAAATACCTATTTCAAAATAAAAAATAAAAAAAAAAAAAGAAAACAAAATAGCTTTTAATTTTTTTTTTTTTTAAAGTTATTTGCTATATTAGAAATAACATATTGTGCTTTCTTTATAATTGAAATAAATTGATTGAATATGCATTAATATATTGACATTAATATCAAAAAGGTGACATCGTATGACAGACATCGATAGCTAAAGGTAACCATGCCAACGAGAATGAAAGGATATGAATCACATTTAGCTTTTTACTATTGATATGCTTTAAATTTTATTCCTCTACTTTGCTAAAAATTCGAATCATATGTAATCAATCGATCAGATAATTTAATTTACTCGGTTAAGATGCGTTTGAAATATTTGACTACAATAGTGGAACAACAGGTATATAAATTATTCTTTACATTTTATTCTTATCTAAAGTTAAATTCTCTCTAATTATTATTATCATTATTGTTTTTATTATTATTATTACTATTGTTATTATTATTATTATTATTATTATTAATATTATTATTATTATTAATATTATTTTGTTAAATGAAAGAAATAAAGCAGTAGATGATGAATTATTATTATCATTATGAAAGAAATAAAGCAGTAGATGATGAATTATTATTATCATTATTGTTTTTATTATTATTATTACTATTATTATTATTATTATTATTATTATTATTATTATTATTATTATTATTATTATTATTATTAATATTATTATTATTTTGTTAAATGAAAGAAATAAAGCAGTAGATGATGAATGGGAATGAGAGAAAACTCAAATTTGAAGCATAAAAAGAGAAAAAACAAATGTTTAATAAATGGAGGTATAATGTTGAAATTATTAAAAGTAATTTAAAAAATTGCTCAGTTGTTACTTACGTGTTACGTGATAATTATTAAGTTATATAATTTATAAAGCATATATTATTAAATAACGCAGTTATATTCCACTTTTTATGCTAAAATATTCATAAAAATATTTTATCTAACAAATTATTTGTATTAAATATTGAAAAATATGTCTAATAAATTGAGAAATAATTTACGTGTTACGTGATAATTACTAAGTTATATAATTTATAAAGTATATATTATTAAATAACGCAGTTATATTTCATTTTTTATGCTTGAATTCTATTTAACAAATTATTTGTATTAAATATTAAAAAATATGTTTAAAAATTAAAAAATAAAAATGTTGAAATTATTAAAAGTAATTTAAAAAATTGCTCAATTGTTACGTGTTACGTGATAATTATTAAGTTATACAATTTGTAAAGTATATATTATTAAATAACGCAATTATATTTTATTTTTTATGCTAAAATATTCATAGAAGATAAATCATCAAATTATTTTATTTAACAATTTCGTTTGTATTAAATATTAAAAAAAAAATACCAAAATTTTTATAAATCAAAAAAATTTTGACAATTTTTTTCTCTTCCAAAAAAGAAAAAAAAATTAGGAGAAATTAATTTGTAATATTTTAATGGAATTTTTAAATAACTTATCTAAAATAGCAATTTAATTGATAAAATATAATTATTAACCATACAATCATAAAAATTCTTTTAATTAATTTATTAAAAATATTGAAATAATAATTTTCTAACTGAAAAAGTTTTACATATTAAACATATATTATACTTTAATTTGAATAAATTCATATGTGTGTGTCTTTTTTTTTTTGTTAAAAGAAAAGAAATTTTTCAAATATTTTTGAATTTTCATACTTGTTACTGTTTTTTTTATTTGTTTACTTTTTGTTTTCTTTTTTTAATTTAATTTAATTTTTTTTTTTGTAAATTCTTAATCAATATTACTTAGTTTAATTACTAAATGTTACTTACTGATAACATAACATTATTTAAATATTACTGCTTAACATTACAAGAAAAAAAAACAAAAAGAAGCAAGAAAAGTAAGTTAATAAAATATTTTTTTTTAAAAAAAAAAATAAAAATTTTTATTTCTTTTTTTTTTTTTTTAGGATGGAGCAGCTAAAATACCAGCAATGGATTGGTCACCAAATGGTAAAAAATTAGCAGTAGCTAATGCTGATCGTGTGATATTATTATTTGATGAAACTGGAAAACGACGTGATAAATTTGCTACTAAACCTATTGATGCTAAGGTTTTAAAATTTTTCTAATCAATTTAATTGATTAAAAAAGAAAAGAAAAAGTTTTTTATTAAATATAAAAAATAAAATTTAAAAATTTAAATAAGTAACTAAAATGATTGAATGGAATAAATTTCAGTGATAATATCATCTTTAGTGATAATATTATTATTTCTAGTATGGAAAGAAGAGTTATCAAGTGAAAGCATTAGTTTTTTCACCTGATTCAACTCGTATTGCTATTGGTCAAACTGATAACATTGTTTATGTTTATCGAATTGGTGAAACATGGTATATAATTCATGTTTACTTTTGAAAAAAAAAAAAATTATTTCAATAATTCATTGATAATAATTTGATATGAATTATTTTATATCAATTTATTTTATATGATCAATTAAATGAAGTGATAATTTAGATATCAATTTAGTATCATTTTTTCTCTTTTTTTTTCTAAGGATTTAATATTTTTTATTTATCATTTCAAATTAGTTTTAGTTGATTGATTGAAAATTTTTATTAAATATAAAATTATTGATAACAAAAATTTCTGTTAATAAATGTTAAAAATGTATTTTAGTGATAATATTGATAGTATTGTTAACACAATGATAATTTGAGATGAAGTGATAATTTAAATATCAGTTTAGTATCATTTTTTCTCTCTTTTTTTTAGGATTCAATATTTTTTATTTATCATTTCAAATTAATTTTAGTTGATTGATTGAAAATTTTTATTAAATATAAAATTATTGATAACAAAAATTTCTGTTAATAAATGTTAAAAATGTATTTTAGTGATAATATTGATAGTATTGTTAACACAATGATAATTTGAGATGAAGTGATAATTTACATATCAGTTTAATATCTTTCTTTTTTTTAGGATTTAATATTTTTTATTTATCATTTCAAATTAGTTTTAGTTGATTGATTAAAAATTTTTATTAAATATAAAATTATTGATAGCAAAAATTTCTATCAATAAGTGTTAATGATGTATTTTAGTGATAATATTGATAGTATTGTTAACACAATGATAATTTAAGCTTAATTTTAGGGATGAGAAAAAAGTTATATGTAATAAATTTATTCAATCATCAGCAGTGATAGCATTATTGTGGCCAAGTGAGGATCGTTTAATAATTGGCCTAATTGATGGTAAAGTAAGAATTGCATCATGTCGTAATAATAAATGTTCAACATTATACAAAACTGATGTATCAGTTATTTCTCTTGCACTTCCGTAAGAATTTTATTTATATTTATTTTTTTCTTTTTAATTTCTAAACTATTTTATAAATCATAAAATTCCAAATTTTTTCCCTCTCATAAATCAAAATTTAACAAAATAATTTAATCATTGTATTTTTTTAAACAAATTAATAAAATGTAATAATTTGAAAAATACTATTTATACTGTTTTAAAATATATTGTTTTATTGTAATTTGAAAGAAAAAAAAAATACTGTTTAATTTTAACAAAAATGCAAATTTAATTTTCAAATATGAAAAATTATACTGATTGCTTCATTTACTATGATATGAGCTTGTTTTGTAAGTAAGATAAGGAAATGATAAGAAATAGCATAATTTTTTAGTTGATCATAAAATAATTTAATAAATCTTTTTTTTTTTTTTTTGCAAGTTTAATTTTGCAAATTCTTTACCGAATTGAAATTTTAGTTTTGATTGAACAGTGATTGATTGATAATTTTAATTTGTTGGAGAAAAAAATTGACTGAAATTTTAGCTTAAATGAAAAAATGATTGATTGAAATATTAGTCTGATAAAAAAAAAAAATTAGAAGCAATTTGTTATAAATTTAATTAGAAAAGAATAAAAAATGAAATACTTTTTAAATGGCTAATGAATTTGCATACTTCCAAAATTTTATCACATTCAATTTAATTTATTACTTTTATCCTATCAAAAAAAAAAAAAAATAATAATAACAAATAAAAAAAAATAATAAACAAATAAAATAAATGAATTAGTTAGCATATTTTTTCATTCTTTTCTAATTAAATTTCTTATGAACATTTTTCTTTTTTTTTTTTTTTTAAAAAAAAAGCTTATCATTTATTACATAAATTTATTATTATATTGTATAAATTTAACAATCATTTTCATTTTGTTTTAACAATTTCTTAAATTGTTATATATTTATTATATAAATTTATTATTAATTTCCATTTTAACAATTTCTTAATTTATTACGTATTTATAATATAAATTTAATATTCATTTTCATTTTAACAATTTCTTAAATTATTATATATTTATTGTATAAATTTATTATTATATTATATAAATTTAAATTATTATATAAATTTATTATTATATTATATAAATTTAAATTATCATGTATTTATTATATAAATTTATTACTATATTATATAAATTTAAATTGTTATATAAATTTAATATTCATTTTCATTTTAACAATTTCTTAAATTGTTATATATTTATTATATAAATTTAATATTCATTTTCATTTTAACAATTTCCTAAATTATTATATATTTATTATGTAAATTTATTATTACATTATATAAATTTAAATTATTACATAAATTTAATATTCATTTTCATTTTAACAATTTCTTAATTTATTACATATTTATTATATAAATTTAAATACTCATTTTTCATTTTCATTTTAATAATTTCTTAATTTATTTTAACAATTTCTCAAATTATTGCATATACTTAATTCATTTTAACAATTTCTTAAATTATTACATTATATAAATGTTAATATTCATTTTTCATTTTCATTTTAACAATTTCTTAAATTATTACATATTTATTATATAAATTTAAATATTCATTTTTCATTTTCATTTTCATTTTAACAATTTCTTAAATTATTATATAATCTAATAAAAAAAAAAATAAATAATTAATTGAAATTGTTTATATTTAAGACCTGATCATCGTTCATTTATTTCTGGTCACACTGATGGTTCAATCATTTTATATTCAATGGATCGACGAATGCAAACAAAAATTTTAACACATAATTGTCCACCGTATGCATTAGTATATACAAATAATGCTATTATAATTGGTGGATGTGATCAACGAATAGTATCGTATACCGAAAATGGCCAATTATTACAGCAATTTGATTACTGTAATGAGATAGATCATGAGAAAGAGTTTACTGTAGCTGTTCGTGACACATTTGGACAAAGTGTCATTTTTGGAAGTTTTGATAGGTCTTTTTCTTTTTTTTTTTTTTTTTATTTTATTAAAATTTTAGCATATTTTCTATAAATGTTTTCTTTTTTTTTTATTAAAATTTTAGCATATTTTCTATAAATGTTTTTTTTTTTTTAAAATTCATTATTTTAAATTCAAATATTTTTTCTTTCCAAATGATTACATTAATATTTTAATTAATTTTATTAGAAATATTAAAAATTATTGCATCATTTGTATTTCAATTTTTTTTTCTTTTTTAAAGTTATAACATAAACATTAGCAATTATGTATATGATATTTCTAAATAAATAAGTTAATTTAACAAAGTTGGATTAATATAACTTTAAAAAAAAAAAGAGAGTGCTACTTTTTATAGAGTACGACTTTATTCATGGAATTCTCGACGAGGTGCTTTAGATGAAGGTAAACCATTAGAGATTCGTTACTTATATACAATTAGCGCATTAGCATGGAGTCCAGATGGTTCAACTATTGCAGTGGTTTGTTTATTTCATAAAAATTTTAACATTTTAATAAAAAATTCAAAAAAAAAAAATGAAATAAGCAACGATGCTATTATTACTAATTTAGTAATTTTACTTATATATATTACTTACTTCGTTGCAAAAAAACCATGGATGCTTTATGGTTTAGTTAAGTAATGTTACGTAACGTTACTCTAACGTAACGTTACGTCTAAAAGTCATCGTAGAGATTTAACACCTGTGACAACTTGCAATAAACCATTTGTGCACTTTTTTGATAGGATTACTGTAGCTAATATTATGAAGCAAACAATACACAAATATTATTGCTTTTCTTGTAAAGTATGCAATATTTGAAAACATTTAACAATAATTTATCTTTTAAATTTAAATTATTTGTTAGCATATTTTTTAAAAAAAAGAAAATTAATTTAGCTATAATTTCAGGGTACATTATGTGGTGCAGTGATAATCTTAGATTGTTGTTTAAAACATTTCATATTGAAAGGACATCTTTTAAATTTAAATTATTTGTTAGCATATTTTTAAAAAGAAAAAAAAATTAATTTAGCTATAATTTCAGGGTACATTATGTGGTGCAGTGATAATCTTAGATTGTTGTTTAAAACATTTCATATTGAAAGGACATTTTGAAACAAAATATGTTTCTCCCTCACAAGTTATTATTAAAGATACATCTACTGAACAACATGTAACAATTCATTCTTCTAAAGGATTACCTATTAATGAAATTAAAGTAACTTTTTTCTCATTTTGTATCGTTTTTTTTTTTTACTTTTTAAACTGATAATTTAAGGTTATTATCATTACTATTATTATCATTAAGTATTAATATTAGTATTGTATTATTAGTAGTAGAGTTAAATAAATTTAAGGTTATTATCATTACTATATTAGTATTATTATATTAATTTATATATATATATATACTAGTATTATTATATTATTTATTTAAGGTTATTGTCGTTACTTTATTATTATTATTATTATTATTATTATTATTATTATTATTATTATTATTATTATTATTATTATTATTATTATTATTATTATTATTATTATTATTATTATTATTATATATAGTATTATTATATTATATTTTAAGCTAATAATTTAAGAATATTTTCATTAATCATTATTACTATTACTATCATCATTACTTATTATTTATTTAGCACTGGTATTAGTATTGTATTATTATTAGTAGAGTTAAATTATTATCATTACTATTATTATTATTATTATTATTATTATTATTATTATTATTATTATTATTATTATTATTATTATTATTATTATTATTATTATTATTATTGTTATCAGTATTGCTAGAGTTAAATTTGCTCCTTTTTTTATGATTATGCTGAAGATTGTAAGTGTTACATAGCATTTGTATTCGTCCTCTAATTATTTATTAATTATCAAAGTTTAATTTTAATTGCTAATATTTTAATTAAGATAATGGGACATGATCGATATGTGATTGCTTATACAACAAATACACTGATAATTGCTGATATGAGGAGTGGTTATTGCAGTGAAATTGAATGGCAAAGTGCTGGTAATGAGAAATTCTATTTTGATAACGAAAATGTTTGTATGATAATTAATGCTGGTGAGGTATGCATATGATAATTTTAATTTTAACATGCAATTATTTCAATGCAATGAGCTGTATACATGGAAATAATTGAAATTTGTTTGTATCTAATTTATAATTATTAAGAATTAAATATATATCATAAATGATAATTGAAATTTATACTGATTTTAATAATATTAATTTAATTATTGTTTGAAATTCAAATGCATCAATAGTTATACCTTTTTTTTTGAATTTAAAATATTTAATTTTGTCTTATTTATTAGTCAACAATAGAAATAATTAAAATTTGATCAATCGAATTTATAGTTATTAAGAATTAAATATATATTATAAATGATAATTGAAATTTATACTGATTTTAATAATATTAATTTAATTATTGTTTGAAATTCAAATGCATCAATAATTATACTTTTTTTTTTTGAATTTAAAATATTTAATTTTGTCTTATTTATAAGTCAACAATAGAAATAATTGAAATTTGATCAATCGAATTTATAGTTTTTAAGAATTAAATATATATTATAAATGATAGTTAACATTTATACCGATTTTAACAATATTAATTTAATTATTGTTTGAAAATCAAATGCATTAATAATTATACCTTTTTTTTTGAATTTAAAATATTTAATATTGTTTTATTTATTATTCAGCTTATTCAGCAATAGAAATAATGGAAATTTGATGAATCTAATTTCTAATTATTAAGAATTAAATATATAGATCATAAATGATAATCAACAAATAGTGATTTTTTACAATGATTTTAATAGTAATGATTTAATTATTGTTTGAAATTCAAATGTATCAATAATTATACCTTTTTTTGAATTTAAAATTAAGAATTAAATATATATGTATCATAAATGATAATCAACAAATAGTGATTTTAGTAGTAATGATTTAATTATTGTTTGAAATTCAAATACATCAATAATTATACCTTTTTTTTTGAATTTAAAATATTTAATTTTGTTTTATTTATTAATCAACAATAGAAATAATTGAAATTTATTTATTAATAGGTAAATTTGGTAGAATATGGAAATAATGAGATAATTGGTTGGATTCGAACAGAGCTCATATCAACACATCTCATTTCAGTACGAATTACAAAACAACAACTTAAAAATATAAATATTATAAAGCGTGTTGCTTATCTGCTTGATTTGAATACCATTTCAGTGGGTGTGTATGTGATTTAAATTTTATTTTTATTATTGGAATAATTTTATAATATATTATTTCTTTTATTATAATTTTAATTTTTGATATTCTATAATTTTAATTTTAATTTTTGATAATTTTAATTTGAATTTTTGATAATTTTTTTTGAGTTAACAAAATTAATTCAACTTTTCTTTTACTTAAATTCATTTGGATTATTATTATTATTATTATTATTATTATTACTACTCAATTTTTAGCGTTTTTTTTTTTAGTCCTTAAAAGTATTGATTAAATAAAAAAAAATTAATTATAAAAAAAAAATAATGAAAGTATCATTTATTTATTTAAATTTATTCTATATATATGAGTTTAAATTTATTTATTTAAATTTTTATTCTATATAAAATTTATTTATTTAAATTTATTCTATATATAAAATGTATTTTGAGAAAATTTAAAAACAATTAAAATTATTTTTCTTTTCGTTTTTTTTTTCACCTTCTAATTTTAATATTTTTTTTTTGTTTTGTTTTTATAGTTGATTTAATAAGTCAACGACAGATTGCACAATTTACGCATCCAGTATACATCGATTGGCTTGAGGTTTATTTTATTCATTTCATTTTGTTGTTATCAAAATAAAATTGATATTTTAATATATTTTATAGATATTTTAATATATTTATCATTTGTTGAAATAATTTAAATTCAATTATTAAATCTTCATGTTGATCAATTTCATCGATTATCAACTGATCATTATTAATTATTACATTTATTTATCAAATTTAAGTATGATTTAAATATAATTTTGTAATCAATTATAATTAAAATCATAAGTTATCATCATTCCTTCCTTAAAATGAAAGATGATTGAATTAAAACATAATCAATGTTCGATGAAATAATTTAAATTTAATTATTAAATCTTCATATTGATCGATATCATCGATTATCACTGATCACTACTAATTATTACATTTATTTATCAAATTTAAGTATGACTTAAATATAATTTTGTAATCAATTATAATCAAAATCATAAGCTATCATCATTCCTTCTTTGAAATCAAAGATGATTGAATTAAAACACAATCAATGTTCGGTGAAATAATTTGAATTCAATTACTAAATCTTCATGTTGATCAATATCATCGATCATCACTACTAGTTATCACATTTATTTATCAAATTTAAGTATGACTTAAATATGATTTTGTAATCAATTATAATCAAAATCATAAGTTATCATCATTCCACCCTTGAAATGAAAGATGATTGAACTAAAATACAATCAATGTTCGGTGAAATAATTTGAATTCAATTACTAAATCTTCATGTTGATCAATATCATCGATCATCACTACTAGTTATCACATTTATTTATCAAATTTAAGTATGACTTAAATATGATTTTGTAATCAATTATAACCAAAATCATAAGTTATCATCATTCCATCCTTGAAATGAAAGATGATTGAATTAAAACATAATCAATGTTCAGTGAAATAATTTGAATTTAATTACTAAATCTTCATGTTGATCAATTTCATCGATTATCACTACTAGTTATCACATTTATTTATCAAATTTAAGTATAACTTAAATATGATTTTATAATCAATTATAATCAAAATCATAGGCTATCACTATTCCTTCCTTAAAATGAAAGATGATTGAATTAAAACACAATCAATGTTCGATGAAATAATTTGAATTTAATTACTAAATCTTCATTGATTATCAACTGATCATTACTAATTATTACATTTATTTATCAAATTTAAGTATGACTTAAATATAATTTTGTAATCAATTATAATCAAAATCATAAGTTATCATCATTCCATCCTTGAAACAAAAGATGATTGAATTAAAACACAATCAATGTTTGATGAAATAATTTGAATTTAATTACTAAATCTTCATGTTGATCAATATCATCGATTATCACTACTAGTTATCACATTTATTTATCAAATTTAAGTATAACTTAAATATGATTTTATAATCAAAATCATAAGCTATCACTATTCCTTCCTTAAAATGAAAGATGATTGAATTAAAATAAATTTATTAATTCTTTTTTAGCTTAGTGAAATGGCAACAAAATTATTGTTTCGTGATAAGAGATCTCGATTATTGCTAGCTGATATCAAAAGTGATCGAAAGATATCATTGTTGGATTATTGTAGTTATGTTCAATGGGTTCCTAATAGTGATGTTATTGTAGCTCAATCGATTGATCAACTTTGCATTTGGTATCAAGCAGAAAATCCTGATGAAGTAAAAGTTTTCTTCTTTTTTTTTTTTTGTTTATTTGTTTATTTGTTTACATTTAACTTTCTTCACTTCTCGTATAACTTTTATTTTAATTTGATTAGATAAGAAGTAAATAAATGAAGTAAAAGTTTTCTTCTTTTTTTTTTTTTTGTTTATTTGTTTATATTTAACTTTCTTCTCTTCTCGTATAACTTTTATTTTAATTTGATTAGATAAGAAGTAAATAAATTTAAAAAAATGAAATAAAATTTGATTATATTTTGCAGATGGTAATGATACCTATAAAAGGTGAAATTGAAACTGTTCTTCGTGATGAATCTAGAACTGAAGTTATTGTTGAGGTTAAATACAATTATTATTATTGTTGTTGTTGTTATTGTTTTGTTTATTAAAATAAACAATAATGAGAGAGAAGAAGAGTAGAAAGTAAAATTTTTAAAAATTACTAGAAAACAAAGTTTTTTTTTTATTAAAATTTTATCTGGGAGAAGAGTAGAAAGTAGAGTTTTTAAAGATGAGAAAATTTTCATAAAAATTTTTCCTTTTTTAAATTATCATATAGAGAAAACATATGTGTTTGGCAATTTTTAAATATTTAAATTAAAATTAGAAATAAACAATTATGTTTATTTCTAATTTTTTTTTCTACGCAATAACATTTCAGAAAAAAAGAAAATAAGAATGGTTTTAAAATTGATTTTTTCTTTTTTTTTTTTAATTTTATGGAAATAAGAATTGTTTCTAAGAAAGCACTAACAATTAGCACTAAATAAATTATGATAAATTAAACGAAAATTCATAAATAAATTTGAAATATATTGCAAATGTTAATTTAATAAAATCTAAAATTCTATTTTAAAAAAATTTAAGAAAATTTAAAATTTAAATGATAAAATGTTTGCTTGTAAATTAACTCAAATTTATGCTAATTTCAAACAGATCAAAATTAGATTGCTTCAGGAATTGAAATACAAAAGTAAATACGAAAGTAAGCATAAAAGTAATATGAAAGTAAAAATTCATACATAAATTTGAAATATATTGCAAGAAATAATTTAATCTAAAATCAAAAATTCTATTTTAAAAAAATTTAAGAAAATTTAAAATTTAAATGATAAAATGTTTGCTTGTAAATTAACTCAAATTTATGCTAATTTCAAACAGATCAAAATTAGATTGCTTCAGGAATTGAAATACAAAAGTAAATACGAAAAGTAATATGAAAGTAAATACGAAATTAAATATAAATACTATATATTTTCAACTTTTTAATTATATGAAAAAATTTTTAAAAATTTGAATAACTTTTATTTTGTATGTTTTTTTTTCTCTTTTAAAAATGAATTTTATAGGAAGCAAATGAAAAAGTTGCTTATGAACTTGATCAAACACTTATTGAATTTGCTTCCGCTATTGATCGATTTGATTTTGCTCGAGCAATTGATTTTTTAGAGAAACGAGAAGGAGAAGAATATGATACAACAGTACTATGGCGTCAACTTGCTCAGGTTTCTTATCATTGATTAAGTAAATTATCAATAAATTATAATTTAATTCAATGATAAAAGTAAATTATGAGAAAAAATTCGAATATATAATTTAGTGATAATATTTTAAGAAAATTACCATAGAAATTATAATTTATGGATAATATTTTAAGAAAATTACCATAGAAATTATAATATAATTTAATGATAAAAGTAAATTATGATAAAAATTGCAATATATAATTTAATGATAATATTTTAAGAAAATTACCAAACAAATTATAATTTATGGATAATATTTTAAGAAAATTACCATAGAAATTATAATATAATTTAATGATAAAAGTAAATTATGATAAAAATTGCAATATATAATTTAATGATAATATTTTAAGAAAATTACCAAACAAATTATAATTTATGGATAATATTTTAAGAAAATTACCATAGAAATTATAATATAATTTAATGATAAAAGTAAATTATGATAAAAATTACAATATATAATTTAGTGATAATATTTTAAGAAAATTACCATAGAAATTATAATATAATTTAATGATAAAAGTAAATTATGATAAAAATTACAATATATAATTTAATGATAATATTTTAAGAAAATTACCATAGAAATTATAATTTATGGATAATATTTTAAGAAAATTACCATAGAAATTATAATATAATTTAATGATAAAAGTAAATTATGATAAAAATTATAATATATAATTTAATGATAATATTTTAAGAAAATTATCACAAATTATAAATTGTGGATAAAATTTTAAGAAAATTACCATAGAAATTATAATATAATTTAATGATAAAAGTAAATTTTGATAAAAATTATATAATTTAATGATAATATTTTGAGAAAGTTATCATAAATTAAATATAATTATACCATAAATTATAATATTTAATAAATGATATTTTTCATATTTGTATCAATCCAATATATAACTATTTTAAGATTTTTTTTTTTTTTTTTAAAAAAAGTTTTGGAAATGATTTTTGATAAAATATAATTTCTTATAGGTTGCATTATCACAACAACAATTACTGATAGCACAACGATGTTTCGCAGCATTGGGTGATATTTCTCGAGTGCAAATGCTTGTGGAAATGATTCGAATTGCTGATGAAATAACTAGAAATACCGGTGATGATGGAAAAAATAATTATAAAGTATTATTTTTTTCTTTATTTAAATTTATCATAGCACATATTACTGATAAGTGATTGATCCTTATCATAGCACATATTAGTGATGAGTGGTTGATCCTTATCACAGCACATATTAGTGATAAGTGGTTGATCCTTATCATAGCACATATTAGTGATAAGTGGTTGATCCTTATCATAGCACATATTAGTGATAAGTGATTGATCCTTATCATAGCACATATTAGTGATAAGTGGTTGATCCCTGTCATAGCACATATCACTGATAAGTGGTTGATCCTTATCATAGCACATATTAGTGATAAGTGGTTGATCCTTATCATAGCACATATTAGTGATAAGTGGTTGATCCTTATCATAGCACATATTAGTGATAAGTGATTGATCCCTGTCATAGCACATATCACTGATAAGTGGTTGATCCTTATCACAGCACATATTCCTGATAAATGGTTGATCCTTATCATAGCACATATTAGTGATAAGTGGTTGATCCTTGTCATAGCACATATCACTGATAAATGGTTGATCCTTATCATAGCACATATTAGTGATAAGTGGTTGATCCTTATCATAGCACATATTAGTGATAAGTGGTTGATCCCTGTCATAGCACATATCACTGATAAGTGGTTGATCCTTATCACAGCACATATTAGTGATAAATGGTTGATCCTTATCATAGCACATATTAGTGATAAGTGGTTGATCCCTGTCATAGCACATATCACTGATAAATGGTTGATCCTTATCATAGCACATATTAGTGATAAGTGGTTGATCCTTATCATAGCACATATTACTGATAAGTGGTTGATCCTTATCATAGCACATATTACTGATAAGTGGTTGATCCTGTAGTGGAAGCAAAAAAATGTTTTTGGAAACAAACCTTTATGATTTGGTTAAATTGTTATTCGGGGGAGAAGTTTGATGTCAGGGAGATGTGTTGGATGCCAGCTAAATATTTGGGCAACAATTGAATAAACTGATTCGGAGGATTGGATGATTTTTAAAACTGATCTAATTGACAATAGTATGGTTATAAAATCTACATTGATGTTAGACAATGATCCAAACAAAGGAGAGGAGGTGCTTGCATGGGCACCAGTTGCTAATAAAGAGCTTATTAGATAACCGCATGATTATGATAGCTAACAAAGAACAATGTAGATATCCTCATGATTGTAAGGATTGCTAACAAAGAACGATGTAAATTGTTTCAATATGTAGAAGCATAAATTTGGAAACAAAGAGTCCGAAGTATAAGCATTATTTGCGGAAATTACGTAGATATCTTTACTACAATTTGCAACTCATATTTTTAGATCGCGATATTAAAATCCGCGACACTCCCGACCGAAGGAGCTAAATGCTTTAGTTCGTTGGACAGCTTTGGTTGATTGCTTCGCCTTATAGCGCTTCTAGTTCGTAGAGCAATTGGTTCTTGTTCATTGACATTTTGCACTGATTTGTTAAACATTGTTGGTTGAGGGTCAATTTCCTCACCTTTGACTTCCAGTGGGTATAACATATTCACCGGTCTGTTGAGTATTTTTCCTTTCGGTAATTCTATCGAGACACTTCTCACTTCTCCATCCTTTCCTGTTTTGATTTCTCTTATTCTGGCTAGTTTCCACATGCCACGGGGAATTTCTGGTTCATTTAGTAACACAATCTCTCCCTCGTGGGGAGTTCTTTTTACTACATCTCTCGGAGAAGAGTGTTCCCTTTGTGCTCTTTCTTTAAGAGTATTTAAATATTCCTCTTTCCATATTTCCCAGAAGGCATCGAGGGCCTTTAGTGTATTTGACCAGTATTGAATGAGTTTTTCTCTCGAATCCAATTTATGAGGGATAAATTCATCCATTTCATTCTTGTTTTTAGCAGGCATGATTAGATGCGCATTCGGTAGTATAAAGTCAATTGGACGCAATATGATACAATCATCAAAATTTACGTAAGTTAGTGGTCGAGTATTCAAAATACTTTCCACTTCCGCTACTAGCGTAATCAATTCCCGTTCCCATAATAACTTTCTGCCGATGGCTCTTTTCATTGCCCTTTTTGTTAACCCAATAAGTCGCTCATATACTCCTCCGTTCCAAGGCGCCTTTGGTATTATATTTTTCCAGATCATTTTCCTTTCCGCTAGGAATTCATTTAATTGTTGTTTCACAATGATTTTAAAAATTAACTGGAATTGACCAGCGTTGTCGCTTAAGATTAATTCTGGAAAGCCTCGTCTTGCTGTAAATCTTCTGAAAACATGTAAAAAGCTTTCGGCTGAAAGAGTTTCTACTACTTCTAGATGTACAGCTCTTGTTGTGAAACATGTGAATAGTGCTACCCATCTTTTTGTTAGCCCATTATCACTCCTGATATTCACAGGACCTAAATAGTCTAGTCCTACTCGCGCAAAGGGTCTTGATCTTGTGGTCCGAGATGCTGGAAGATCAGCCATAGTTGGTAATTTGAATGGTTTAGTTGTCCAGCGTCTGCACTTCATGCACTTATTCAAGATTCGTTTGACTTCCGTTCTACCTTTTGGGATCCATATCGTCGATCTCAGATTTGAGAGTGTATGAGCAATTCCAGCATGATACAGTTGTTCATGTCGTTGCTGAATAAAGAGTTCAGTTATGGTGTTGTGTCTCGGGAGATATATTGGGTGTAAGTTACTCTCTTTCATTTCAGAGTTAACTACGCGGCTTTTGTATCTCCATAGTTCGTTATCATAGAACAAATTCCATTTGATTATTTCATCTTTGGTAACTCCTTCTGACTGTGCTTGTTTGAATAGCACAATTTCTGACAACTCGTAATCCTGTGTTGTCAATATATTCTTTTCTTTCGTTGCCATCTTTAGCCAAGGAATTTCCCTTTTCATTGTTAATCTTATGAATTTCAGAACCCAACCAGTTGTTCTTATTAATCTTGACCATTTGCTAAAACGACTAGCATCTAAGATTCCGAAATGTTTGTTTATGATAATTGGTTCTGTGATGTGGGCCACAATTTCTTCATCCTGGTAATCCTCATTGTAATTGTATTTCCACTGTGGCCATTTTGATTCGTTTTCTGTTAACCACTTTGGTCCTTTCCACCAAAGATCATATCCTTTTAGTTTATTCGGAGAGATTCCTTTTGTAGCTATATCAGCTGGGTTTTGTTCACTTGGGATATATCTAAAATGGATTTTCGCCTTTCGTATTTCTTCTACCCTATTTTGTATGAACGTTGGTAGTAAACGGGAACTATTGTGAACCCAATGAAGCGCACATTGAGAATCGGACCATAAAATTGTTATCACGTCCTCAAGCTCTTTTTGTTTTAATACGAATTGTACCATTCTCACTCCGATGAGTATTGCCAGTAATTCTAATCGAGGTATTGACATTCCTTTAATTGGCGCAATTCGGGATTTAGCAAACACTAAGAATACTTCTCTTTCTTGAGTTCGAATGTATAAAGCTGCTGAGTATGCAGCAGTTGATGCGTCAGTAAAAACATGAAATTGTACTTGCTTGGAACAATTTGTTGTGAATCTTGGTAGATCCTTTAGTTTCTTTGGCCATTCGTTCGTGAGTAATTTCCACGTGGTTTCATCTTCCTCACTTATAGTTTGATCCCATGAAAGGTTCTTTTTCCACAAAGTTTGGAGAAACAATTTGAATCTTATCAGTATAGGAACTATGAATCCTAGTGGGTCATATTGTGAGGCTACGAATTGCAATACAATTCTTTTAGTTAATTTCTTACCAAACCATGGTTTTAACGTTACTTGAATGATATCTTGTTTGTGGTACCAATTGAGACCTAGAATTTTTTTAATTGAACTTACCTCTGCTCGATCTTGTACCGGAAGTTTTTCATTGACTTCTTGGTCGTTAGAGAGAAATTCCCGTACATTCATTGATGCTTCATTGAATATAATTTTAATTTCCTTATAATTGGAAAGAGCTTCGTTGGTTCCTTTGGTTGGTATTATAATGTTATCGACATAGAGATTTTTCCTTAACTCGAGTGCGATTTTGCTTTTACAAGTTTCCAAATGATAATTGAGTGTAGCGGACAATAAAAATGGAGATGATACAATTCCAAATGGAACTCGTTGGAAACGGTAACAACTTACGTTTTCTTCGTTAACTGGACTTCGAATGTCTTTCAACCAAAGAAATCGAGTGCAGTTTCTATCTGTTGGATGCAATTCTATTTGCAAGAACGCCTTTTCTACGTCTGCTATTATTACATTTTTCATTGTACGGAAACGTAGCAAAACTCCAACCAAATCAGGGAGTGTTATTGGTCCCCGATATAAAACATCATTTAAACTTTTCATTCCTTTACAATGAGCTGATGCATCATAAACTATCCTCAGATTTGTCGTGGTTTTATTTGGTGTTATTACTTCGTGATGAGGCAGATAATGAATAATACCAACTTCATTCATTTCCGATGACACTTTCTCAATTATATTGGAATTGAGTTGTTCTTCAATAGTTTGATTGTATCGACTTAGTAATTGAGGTTTCATTTGAAGCCTCCTAATTAACGACTTTAATCTTCCAAGGCAAAGTCCGAAATTATCGCTTAGTTTGTTCTTTGAATCTTTCCAAGGCCAACAAACTTGATATCTTCCCTTGTCCCTAGTGATAGTTTGTTTAAATTGCTGCAATGCTTTTTCATCATTGTCAGAGTTTATTTTGTCTTGTATACCCATTAATTCCAGTTTCCAAAAGTGATCTAAGTCTGGAATATTGACGGCATTGACTTGAGAAATCGGACTTACTGATGTGGTTTCTGAAATACTGTCGTGTATTTCATTTATATACCCACTTCCAGCTATTATAGGTCCAACCTTTGTATGGATCAATGAAAATCCTGATTTTAAGTTCTCTGCTTGGTCAAACTGGATAAACTTGAAGAAGTGATCCGCACCTATGAGTATGTCCGGTTGTTTCCATTTGTTTTTGAAATTACTAAACTGATTTCGTTTGTCTATCATCAACAATTCCTTTTTGTTTAGATTAACTACTTGCAATTCATTCGTCAAGTGGTTAACTGTTATTACATCTAATCGGATTATTTCTTTATTTCCAATTTTTACTCCGATTTCAGTTTTAGTAGTGATACACGTTTTTGGCGTCTTATCACCAAATGAAGCAATTTTTATTTCCATCTCGTTAGTTTCTTGTAGATTCAATCGATAAGCCAAATCCTTTGATATGAACGATAATTGAGAACCAATATCGAATAGAATTAAAGCCTTTTGTTGGATTTTTGGGCGATTTGGATTGGTTACATTTATTTCCTTACATAACAGTAAGGTTCGCTTTTTCCATTGATTTCCTTTTTCGGTAATGGAGTTAGCGATTGTGACTGAACCCAACCTTTCTTTGTTGGAATCCACTGCTTGCGTGAGTTCCTTGTAGTTGTTGGGACACAGTGCTGTATTGTGTGGACTTTTACAATGGAAACACAAAGGTTTCCCTTTTTTACAATCACTTGTTGCATGTCCTTTTCGTAAACATTTGAAACATGCAGTGATTTCTCTCAAACGTTCCATCCGGAGTTTGAGAGTGGGATAGATGTTACATTCATTGTTCCAGTGGTCCTTATTGCAAAATACGCATGGTTTCCTTTTCCCATTTATAGAAATTTTTCCTGGAACCTTTTTTGATTTGATTGTATTATCTCCCTTTGTTTGGTTGATTGTGGCGAAAGCTGACGTTTCGCCTCTAACATTATTTTTGTTTGTTTTCTTCTCCCTTGTGTCTGCTTGACTTCTAGCAACTTCTTCATTTCTTAGAACTAGTTTTGTCAGGTACTGCCGGATATCCTTAACTGACCAACTCGTCGAATCCTCTTTCAATTGGTATAATTTATCAATTATCCACGCTGGTAGTTTATTTTCAATTGTAATTTCGATGCTTGAATGCTCTAAATTTTCACCTATAGCTTCCAGTTGTCGAAATGTTCTCTCCATGGCTTCTATGGTTGCTTTCCACTCTCGGTCATTTTTTTTGATGGTATTCAACTCGTTGTAGAGTGATTTCTTTATAAGGAAAGGTTTACCATATTTCTCTTTTAGTAAACCTATTATAACATCGTAGTTTTCTGGCGCTATATCATAACCTCTTACAGATAACAAAGCATCTCCTTTAAGACATGATATCAGATAGTTTAACTTTTGAATATCTGGGATGCTTTGCTCATGGACTGCTGCCTTGAAACTACACCAAAATTGCCTCCACAATTTTGGATCCCCACTAAACGTTATTAGTGGTAATTGAGGAAGTTTTATTTCTGCTTGATTTGTGTGAATCATACTATTCTTTGGAAATGATTCTTTGACCTCTTCTTGTTTTAAATGTTGTAGTACCGAGCAATATTCATCAGTATGTATTTTAAGGGTAATAATAGTTTCTCTTGTTCTAGTGATTAAACTTAAAATACCTTGTGGATCGTCAACCATATTGGCGTATTTCGTCTCCTCTTCCTTTCTCCTCGTTGCTATTGTCAAGCTCTGAATATTATCCAGCCAATTTTGATTAGCTGTTTCGAGTAACCCAGCATAATATTCGAGATGTGCGATCTTCTCCTTGACGATTCGCAATTTAATTTCGTATTGATGCTGAAGTTCCCCTCGTGATAGTGTTTGAGACGGGGAGGTCAGATCGAGTTCACTTGCTTCTTTAAGAAGTTCTAGAGTTCTCGACTTCGATAATTCGCTTCCTTTTCTTATACTGTCGGACATGTCCCGGCTCGTGGCACCAAAATTGTAGTGGAAGCAAAAAAATGTTTTTGGAAACAAACCTTTATGATTTGGTTAAATTGTTATTCGGGGAGAAGTTTGATGTCAGGGAGATGTGTTGGATGCCAGCTAAATATTTGGGCAACAATTGAATAAACTGATTCGGAGGATTGGATGATTTTTAAAACTGATCTAATTGACAATAGTATGGTTATAAAATCTACATTGATGTTAGACAATGATCCAAACAAAGGAGAGGAGGTGCTTGCATGGGCACCAGTTGCTAATAAAGAGCTTATTAGATAACCGCATGATTATGATAGCTAACAAAGAACAATGTAGATATCCTCATGATTGTAAGGATTGCTAACAAAGAACGATGTAAATTGTTTCAATATGTAGAAGCATAAATTTGGAAACAAAGAGTCCGAAGTATAAGCATTATTTGCGGAAATTACGTAGATATCTTTACTACAATTTGCAACTCATATTTTTAGATCGCGATATTAAAATCCGCGACAGATCCTTGTCATAGCACATATCACTGATAAGTGGTTGATCCTTATCATAGCACATATTAGTGATAAGTGGTTGATCCTTCCATAGCACATATCACTGATAAGTGGTTGATCCTTGTCATGGCACATATTAGTGATGAGTGGTTGATCCTTATCATAGCACATATTACTGATAAATGGTTGATCCTTATCATAGCACATATCACTGATAAGTGGTTGATCCTTATCATGGCACATATCACTGATAAGTGTTGATCCTTATCATAGCACATATCACTGATAAGTAGTTTATCCTTATCATAGCACATATTAGTGATGAGTGGTTGATCCTTATCATAACACATATTAGTGATGAGTGGTTGATCCTTATCACAGCACATGTTACTGATAAGTGGCTGATTCCATATATGTATTACTTTTTGTTATTAATCATTAGCAGTAATCAAAAATTTTTTTCCTTTCAGGTTCAAGCACGTCTAGCTCTTATGAATAAAGATTTTCGAGAAGCTGAAAGAATTTATCTCGAACAGGTGAAACAAATATACCTATTGTCAAAAAAAAAAAAAAAGAATTAAGCTACTTTATGAATTGTTTTATAATAATTATAATCAATAATTGATTATTATTATTATTAATTATTATATTCAAATTTTGATTGAAAACAAATTTAACAGTCTTTTAAAGTAAATTAAAAATTTTATTTTACTAATTAAATTTGTTCAATTTAATTTATAGAATGCATTAGATGAAATTATTGAAATTTATCAGCAAATTGGCAAATGGGATGAAGCATTTGAGTTAGCTCAATCACAAGTATGTTTTTTTATCATTAAATGTTCTACGAGATTTATACCTATTTCAAAAATTCAATAATTATTTATTTTTTTAATTTTTTTCAAGAATCATCCAGACTTGGAAACTGTTAAAGCACGATACTATCGTTATTTATTTGATACAGGTCAGGATGGAAAAGCTGCACAAGTTTGTTTTTTTTTTTTCTAATATTCAAAAAATAAAAAAGAAAAAAAAAATAATTTTAATTCTGTTCTTTTACATCAATGTTTATCATAATTTATCATAATCATCATTTCCATATTATCATAGTTTACCATAATTATTATCATAATTATCATCCTTATATTATCATAATTATCGTCATAATCATCATTTACATATTATCACAGTCTACCATAGTTATTATCATAATTATCTTATATTGTCATAATTGTTTCCTTAATCATTATTTACATATTATCATAGTTTATCACAATTATTATCATAATTATCATCTACATATTATCATAATCATCATCTACATATTATTATAGTTTGCCATAACTATTATCATAATTATCAACCTTATATTATCATAACTATCATCATAATCACCATCTACATATTATTATAGTTTATCATAATTATTATCACATTTATCATCTATATATTATCATAATTTATCACAATTATTATCATAATTATCATCCATATATCATTTTTTTTTTTGGTAATGTTATTACAACCTATATAATTTATTTTCATCTCGAAAAGTGATCTTAGTTAAATTTTTAGCTCATTTTTTCGGATCATTTTTACAATTAAAAATTTGGCGTATTTTTGCAATTAAAAAATTAGCGCATATAAATATAATAATAAATAGTCATTTAAAAAATTTTCTAGAATTATTGAACTTTTATCATTCATTGTAAACCTAAAAGTGTAATCATTGTAATCCTTCAATAATGGCTTTCTTTCTTTCTTTCTTTTTTTTTTAAATTAAATTTTAATTAAATTAAAAAGTAGCTAATTTCAGATATCAGAACGTGATGGTGATTTGCTTGTTGCAATTGAATTATATTTGAAAGCTGGTTTGGTCATTCAAGCTGCTCGTATCCTTTTGCAAAATTCAAAACTTTTATTTAAAGATGATTTAGTACAAAATGTTATTACAGCATTGATACAATCTGATCAATTTGAAAAAGTTTGCTATTCAATTCTTTTGTCTCTTTTTTTTTATTATAATAATTTAATCTAATATATTTGTATATGTTTATATATTATTTGAAATTTTTTTAAAAAAAAAAAAAAAAAAAGAAAATTAGAAATTATAAAATTTTTTAGGCTCTGATCAATTTGAAAAAGTTTGCTATTCAATTCTTTTTTTTTTATTATAATAATTTAATCTAATATATTTGTATATATTTATATATTATTTGAAATTTTTTTAAAAAAAAAAAAAAGAAAATTAGAAATTATAAAATTTTTAGGCTCTGATCAATTTGAAAAAGTTTGCTATTCAATTTTTTTTTTTTATTATAATAATTTAATCTAATATATTTGTATATATTTATATATTATTTGAAATTTTTTTAAAAAAAAAAAAAAGAAAATTAGAAATTATAAAATTTTTTAGGCTCTGATCAATTTGAAAAAGTTTGCTATTCAATTCTTTTGTCTCTTTCTTTTTTTTATTATAATAATTTAATCTAATATATTTGTATATATTTATATATTATTTGAAATTTTTTAAAAAAAAAAAAAAGGGAAAATTAGAAATTATAAAATTTTTTAGGCTCTGATCAATTTGAAAAAGTTTGCTATTCAATTCTTTTGTCTCTTTTTTTTTTTATTGTAATAATTTAATCTAATATATTTGTATATATTTATATATTATTTAAAATTTAAAAAAAAAAAAAAAGAAAATTAGAAATTATAAAATTTTTTAGGCTGGTGAATTATTTGAAGCAATAAAAAATTTTGAACAATCATTGGAAAATTATCAAAAAGGAAAAAGTTATGCAAAAGCTATTCAGGTTAATAATTATAATCAATTTAATGTTAATGAAAAAAAAAATTTTTTTTTTTTTTTCAATTATTATTTATGCAAAAAAAATTTCTCTTTTCACAAATCAGTTAAATATTTTAGCTAGCACGAATACATTTTCCGGAAAAAGTTATTTCACTGGAAGAGGATTGGGGTGATTATTTGATTGCAGAAGGAAATTATGATGCAGCAATAAATCATTTTCTTGGTTTGTATTATTATTAGATTAATCTATCTATCTATGTTCTAGTTTTGAGTTTTAATTTTAATTTTAAAATTTAAATTTATGCCATTTGCAGAAAGTGGAAAAACAGCAAAAGCACTTGAAGCATCAATTAAAGCAAAACAATGGAGTAGAGCTGCACAAATTGTTGATGTAATTGAAGATAGCGAACTGGCAAAACGATACTATGGCAAAATTGCTGATCATCATGCAAGTATTGGTGATCTTGAGGTAGATTAATTAATCTTTTTTTTTTTTTTTAAATTATCTGGCTGATATGATAAGATTATTATTATGATCATTATATTAGTAATTTCTAGAAAAAGTTATCAAATAAAAATGAAATTAATCTTGAATAGGTCGAGAATAAACATGCAAGTATTGATGATCTTGAGATAGATTACTTTAAATTATCTGACTATGAAATAAAAATGAAATTAATCTTGAAAAGATCGAGAATAATCATGCAAGTATTGATGATCTTGAGGTAGATTAATTTTTTTTTTTTAAATTATCTGGCTAATAAGGTAAGATTATTATTATGATCATTATATTAGTAATTTCTAAAAAAAAAAAAAGTTACAAATAAAAATGAAATTAATCTTGAAAAGATCGAGAATAATCATGCAAGTATTGGTGATCTTGAGATTGGTTACTTTAACAAAATAAGATCAAGACAAGATTATTATGACTATTATGTGTAAATCTTTTTTAATTTATCTGGCTGATATGATAAGATTATTACTATGATCATTATATTAGTAATTTATAAAAAAAAAAAAAAGTTATCAAATAAAAATGAAATTAATCTTGAATAGGTCGAGAATAATCATGCAAGTATTGATGATCTTGAGATAGATTACTTTAACAAGACAAGGTATTATTATGTGTAATATAATTTTGAGTAATTTCTAAGAAATTTATCCAAAGAATGAAATTAATCTTAAAAAGGTCGAGAATAATCATGCAAGTATTGATGATCTCGAGATAGATTACTTTAAATTATCTGACTATAAAATAAAAATGAAATTAATCTTGAACAGGTCGAGAATAATCATGCAAGTATTGGTGATCTTGAGATAGATTACTTTAACAAGAAAAGGTTATTATTATGTGTAATATAATTTTGAGTAATTTCTAAGAAATTTATCAAAGAATGAAATTAATCTTAAAAAGGTCGAGAATAATCATGCAAATATTGATGATCTTGAGATAGATTACTTTAACAAAATAAGATTAAGACAAGATTATTATGATTATTATGTGTAATATAATTTTAAGTTAGTGTCTAAAAAATTGATCAAATAAAAATGAAATTAATCTTATAAATGCTTTTTTAATAAAATAGAAGAGAAGAAGCAAAAATATTAAATTAAAAATTAAAAAGATTGTTGAAATATGATCAAAAAAAAAAAAAAAAAAAGAATTTAGCGAGCTGAAATGTTATACATTGAAGCAAAAATGCATCGAGAAGCAATCGAAATGTATAATAAAGCTTCCCGATGGGCTGATTCATATCGGGTAAGTAAGTGCTAATTGTTTTTGTGGGTAATTTTAGGTTAACATCAATTTTAGATTAACATTAAATTTATCAAGTATATGAAATATTTCATTAATTCATTTGATTGTTTAATAGATTTTAGAATTTATTTTTCTCCATTTCAAAAGCTTTTTATTTACTTTTTTTTTAAGCATTGGAAAAAAAAACGCTAAAGAGTCTAATTTTCATTTAAATTAATTTTAAAAATTTCTACATCTAACTAACTTTATCGGTTATTTTTAGTTTTTTTAAAAAAAAATAAATAAATAAATAAATTTAGAATTATAACAAATTGAATAAATTATTTTAGTTAGCTACAGAATTTATGGGAGTTGAGAGTGATCAAATGTATGAAGAATTAGCACAAACAATGGAAAATAGTGGTCGTTTAAAGGATGCAGAGCAGGTAAATGATTGATTTTTTTTTTTTCAATTTATTTTATTATAATTTAATTTTGAAAAAAAAGAAGAAAAAAAAAGAGTAATTATTGAATAATTATTTCTTAAATTATCATTAATATTTAGTGATAAATTGTAATTTCAATACTTAATCTATTTTATTATAATTTAATTTCAAAGAAGAAAAAAAGAGTAATTACCGAATAATTATTTTTTAATTTATCATTAATATTTAGTGATAAATTATAATTTCAATGCTTAATCTATTTTATTATAATTTAATTTTGAAAAGAAAGAAAAAAAAAAGAGTAATTACTGAATAATTATTTTTTAAATTATCATTAATATTTAGTGATAAATTGTAATTTCAATGCTTAATCTATTTATAATTTAATTTCAAAGAAGAAAAAAAGAGTAATTATTGAATAATTATTTTTTAAATTATCATTAATATTTAGTGATAAATTGTAATTTCAATGCTTAATCTATTTTATTATAATTTAATTTCAATAATTATTTTTTAAATTATCATTAATATTTAGTGATAAATTGTAATTTCAATGCTTAATCTATTTTATTATAATTTAATTTCAATAATTATTTTTTTAAATTATCAATAATATTTTTCATATTTAGCTATATATTGCAATTGGACAAGTTAATAATGCTATTGCAATGTATAAGAAAACAGATCGAATTGATGATATGATAAGATTGATGGAAAAATATCATATCGAGAATGTCAAAGTTTGTTATAGTAAAATTTTTATCAATTGAAATGAAACTGGATTGAAAGAAAAGTGATAATCAGAATTTATCAATAATATTTTTTTTTCTTTTTTTTTATTTCAAATAGAATATTATTATCATTATATCAATATATCAATATCAATATTATATTATATTAAATGTAAATAATTGTTTTGTAAACAATATGCATTGTATTTTGTTAGGAAACTCATCTTCAAGTGGCAATTGATTTGGAGGAAAAAGGTAATTTACGAGAAGCAGAAGAGCATTATTTACTTGCTAATGAATGGAAAAAAGCAGTTAATATGTATCGTAATGCTGAAATATGGAATGATGCTTATAGGATTGCTAAACAGGAAGGTGATGATATGGCACAAAAACAGGTGTGTAATATTTTTAGTAGTAGTAGTAGTAGTTTTCTATCTATTTATTCTAAAATTAAGATAAGATACTTCGAATGATGGTTAGGGATGATAATATAATAGTAATAATAGTAGTAGTAGTAGTATTTTTCTATCTATTTATTCTAAAATTAAGATAAGATACTTCAAATGATGGTTAGGGATGATAATATAATAGTAATAATAATAATAATAATAATAGTAGTAGTAGTAGTAGTAGTAGTAGTAGTAGTAGTAGTAGTAGTAGTAGTAGTAGTAGTAGTAGTAGTAGTAGTAGTAGTAGTAGTAGTAGTAGTAGTAGTAGTAGTAGTAGTAGTAGTAGTAGTAGTAGTAGTAGTAGTAGTAGTAGTAGTTTTCTATCTGTTTATTCTAAAATTAAAATTAAGATAAGATACTTCGAATGATGGTTAGGGATGATAATATAATAGTAGTAGTGATAATAATAGTGATAATAATAATGATAATAATAGTAATAATGATGAAAATAGCAGTGATAATAATAATAATAATAATAATAATAATAACAGTAATAGTAGTAGTAGTAATAATAATAAAAATAGTAGTAATAATGATAATAATAATAATAATATATCATTAAATAATAATATATAATAATAATAATAATAATAATAATAATAATAATAATAATAATAATAATAATAATAATAATGATAGTGGTGATAATAATAATAATAGTAACAATAACAACAATAGTAATAATAATAATGATAATAATAACAGTAGTAGTGATAATGATAATAGTAGCAGTGATAATAATAATAATAATATAACGAATGATAATCTAATCTATATTATTACTTTTTTAGATTGCATTTTTGTGGGCAAAAAGTTTAAATAGTGATGCAGCAGTGAAATTATTGCAGAAATTTAAATTACTAGATGAATCGATTGATTATGCATGCGAAAATGGGTAAGTATAAGATTAAAAGTATTTTTTTTTTTTTTTTTTGCTAAATATATTTGTATGTTTAATAAATATTAAAAAAATAATAATAATAATAATTGGACTAGAAATGATTTAAAAAACAAATAGGTAATAATAAATTTTCAATAATAAAAATCATTCAATTATTATAAAATAGTTTTTTTTTTCTTCTTTTTCATTCTTTTAAAATTTATTGCTTATTTAAGATATTTTTTTAAGAGCATTCGATTTTGCATTTGATTTGTGTCGTTTGGAAGCAAAAAATCGTTTACCATCAGTGCATTTCAAATTAGCACAACAATTGGAAGAGGAAGGTGAATTTGAAAAAGCTGAAATGCATTTTATAGAAAGTGGTAAGCCTAAAGAAGCTATATTAATGTATATTCATGATCAAGATTGGGAAAATGCTGAACGAGTTGCAAAGTATGTTTAACTTTTTAAATATCAATTAAAACAATGTAAACAATCAATATTTAATAATAATTAATCTTTGCAAAAGTATGTTTACTAAACAATCAATATTTAATAATAATTAATCTTTGCAAAAAGTATGTTTATTTTCTAAATATTAATTAAAACCATGTAACAATCAATATTTAATAATAATTAATCTTTGCAAAAAGTATGTTTACTTTTTAAATATCGACTAAAACAATGTAAACAATTAATATTTAATAATGATTAATCTTTAAAAAATATGCTTACTTTCTAAATATCGATTAAAACAATGTAAACAATCAATATTTAATAATGATTAATCTTTGTAAAAAGTATGTTTATTAAACAATCAATATTTAATAATAATTAATCTTTGTAAAAAGTATGTTTAACTTTCTAAATATCAATTAAAACAATGTAAACAATCAATATTTATGTATATTTTAAAAATAAAACTTTTTGGAATAAAAAAAAAAAAGGAAAAATCAAAAGTTATTTAAAATTAAAACCAAATACCTATTTTGCTTTTAATTGATAATAGCATTAGCATAAATATTGATTGATCTTATGAAAATACTAAATGATATCACAATTTTGTACTATTTTGATTAAATTAATAGCAAAAATTTACACAAGCAATAAATTTAGTAATAACTAAATTTTAAAAAAGATTTTTTTCTTTTTTTTTTTTAAAAATTTTTTTTTTTTTGAGTAAATAATTTATAGAAAGCATAGTCCAGAAACATTATCTGATGTATACATTCGACAAGCTCGAATGGCAATTGAGCAAAAAAATTTTGCATGTGCCGAAAGTTGCTTACTTCGGGCAAATCGTCCTGAAATAATTTTACGATGTTATAAAGAATTAGAAATGTGGCAAGATGCTATACGTATTGCTAAAGATTATATGCCAGCAGAATTAAAACATTTAGAAGTAAGTAATAATTTTAAAAATTTACTATTAAAATAAGCTTATTTGCTAAGCTAACAAAAATTTGATCATCATTTATTTATTTATTTATTAATAAAACATATGCAAATTATTTGCTAAGCTAATAAATTTGATTGTGATTTATTTATTTATTTATTTATTAATAAAACATATGCAAATTATTTGCTGAGCTAATAAATTTGATTGTGATTTATTTGTTTATTTATTTATTAATAAAACATATGCAAATTATTTGCTGAGCTAATAAATTTGATCATGATTTATTTATTTATTTGTTTATTAATAAAACATATGCAAATTATTTGCTAAGCTAATAAATTTGATCATGATTTATTTATTTATTTATTTGTTTATTAATAAAACATATGCAAATTATTTGCTACGATAATAAATTTAGAATTATTTGCAAACTTGATCATGATTTATTTATTTATTAATAAAACATATGCAAATTATTTGCTAAGCTAATAAATTTGATCATGATTTATTTATTTATTTATTTGTTTATTAATAAAACATATGCAAATTATTTGCTACGATAATAAATTTAGAATTATTTGCAAACTTGATCATGATTTATTTATTTATTTATTAATAAAACATATGCAAATTATTTGCAAAGCTAATAAATTTGATCATCATTTATTTATTTATTTATTAATAAGACTTATGCAAATTATTTGCTAAGCTAATAAATTTGATCATCATTTATTTATTTATTTATTTGTTTGTTTATTAATAAAACATATGCAAATTATTTGCTACAATAATAAATTTAGAATTATTTACTACGATAAAAAATTGCTACGAGAATAAAACTACAATAAGTTTGATCATGATTTGTTTATTAATAAGACATATGCAAATTATTTGCTAACAAAGTTGATCATGATTTATTTATTTATCAATAAAACATATGCAAATTATTTGCTAAGCTAACAAATTTGATCACGATTTATTTATTTATTTATTTGTTTGTTAATAAAACATATGCAAATTATTTGCTACGATAATAAATTTAGAATTATTTGCTACGATAAAAAATTTCTATGATAATAAAACGATAATAAGTTTGATTATGACATATTTATTAATAAAACATATGCAAATTATTTGCTAAGCTAACATATTCGATCATGATTAACTAACTAATTAATTAATTAATTGTTGTTTATTGTTTAGATTATCATTTATTTCTATTACAAATTATAATTCGAGAATTGCTAAATAAATTGGTGGAAAAATATGTAAACATTAGTAAATTGACAATAAAATAAACTAAATAAGTCATGATAACTGTAGTTTGATTCTAATTAATTAATTAATTAATTGTTGTTTATTGTTTAGATTATCATTTATTTCTATTACAAATTATAATTTCGAGAATTGTTAAATGAATTGATGGAAAAATATATAAACATTAGGAAAAAAAAAAGCATAAATTGACAATAAAAATAAATTAAATAAATCAAAATTAAATAAAAATAAATTAAATAAATAAAAATAAATTAAATAAATAAATTAAATAAATCATGATAATTTGTAAATATTATTATTAAAGGAGGAATTTGATCAAGTACAGCTAAAATCTGGCGCAAAAGGTATTTTATCATTTATTGCACAAGCACGAGATTGGGAAAGTGAAGGTGAATATATTCGAGCTATTCAATGCTATCTAAAAGTAAAGGATTCAGAGACAGCTGATACTGATACAGTTGTAAATGCTTTAAAACGGGTATAAACATTAATATTTAATAAAATTTAGTATTATTTTAATTTGCATTTATTTATTGAAATTAATTAATAAAAATTATCTTTTCTCTTATCATAAATTTGACTACTTTATCACCAAATCAGCAATTCAATCATAATTTATTCAAAAATGCTTAGTTAGAATTAAAATTTTACTAAATTTAAATTCAAATGGACTTAATAAAAGTTAATATTATTTTAATTTGCATTTATTTATTAAAATTAATTAATAAAAATTATCCTTTCTCTTATCATATAAAATTTCCAAAAAAATTTCCACTTTCCTTTATCATTTTACTGAAATTTGCCTACTTTATCACCAAATCATCAATTCAATCATAATTTATTCAAAAAGTTTGGTTAGAATTAAAATTTTACTAAATTTAAATTCAAATGGACTTAATAAAAGTTAATATTATTTTATTTTGCATTTAATGTTATTTATTGAAATTAATTAATAACAATTATCTTTTATCTTATCATATATCCAATTACAAAAAAAAATTTCCATTTTCTTCTATCATTTTTACTGATGACTATAATTTGTCCAAAATGCTCAGTTAGAATTAAAATTTTATTAAATCTAAAATTCGAATAGAATTTAAATTTAATAAAATTGTTGAGTATATAAGAGGAAAATGCTCGTTGTTGTTAAATGATTAAAATTTGTTCAAATATTTCTATTTCAATATCAAAATTGCTTTTTATTAAAATTTTATTTCAAAAAAAAAAAAAAAAACTTTGCTATTATTACTAAGAAATTATTATTTATTTATTTATTATTATTATTATTTTTTTTTCAGGCTGGAGAATTAGCAATAAAATTTCTCTCAGATGATGTAACTTCTGCAATTGTTGATGAAATTGCAGAAATTTTCATTCATTTGAAACGGTGAAAAATAGTTTATTACTAAAATAGTTTGTTGAATTTTCATTTAAAAAAAAAAAAAAAAAATTGAAGAAATTAGTTAACATTTTTTTTTATTTCTTTAATAAGTTTATATTAACATGCTTTCTATAATAGTAATAATTGAAATATTAGCAGAATTATTAAAATTTGCTTATATAATAATTTTTTTAATTATAAAATTAAAACATAATCAAAAAATTGAATATTTAAAATTTTTAAATTAAAATTAAAATATTTTCAAAACTGAAAAATTATGATAGTTATATTTCATAAAAGTGATATTATTTTAATTTTTTTTTTTTTTAAATGATGAAAAGTGATATTATTCTTTTAAATGATTTTTTTTTTAAAAAAAATTTTTTTTAAATGACTTTTTTTTTAAATGATTTTTTTTTTAAAATTTTATAATTATTGTTAAAGGTTTATTGAAGCAGCTGAATTATTTTTGGCATCAAATCAACCGGATAATGCTATTAAAGCATTCTTGCTTGGTGGACAATGGTCAAAAGCTAAAAAAGTAAAATAATTATTACTTTAATTTTTACATATGCTGTAATTGCTTGCTAGATTCATTAGCATAAATTATTAAAATTTTAGTTAGCTATCGAATTTGTTCCGGATTTAGCCGATTTTGTGGATGAAAAATACCGGGAATCATTGAAACAGCAAGGTCGATTAGGTGAATTAATGGATGTTGATATTGTTAGCGCTATTGACGCACTACTGGAACATGGTCAGTGGGAAAAAGCGCTTGAAATAGCACATCAACAAAAAGTTAGTTATTAATTTCCATATGAAATATATGAAAAAAAAAAATAATATAATCTCGAAATTATTAAACTAATTTAAAAAAAAAAAAGAAAAGAGATATTATTAAAATAAATAATAGCAAATGTAATATTACATTTGTTGTTGAATTAAAAAATTGTTATAGAAATTACAAATTTAAAAAATTCAAAAATTTGCTATATTCATTAGCATAAATTATCAAAATTTTAGTTAGCTATGGAAAAAAAAAATTTACAAAATTAAACAAATTTTTAATCAATTGATTTTATTAATTTTAAAGGAAAAGAAATGGAAAAGAATTTTAAAGGATTTTTTGTTCAATTCTTTTTTTTTTCTTTCCCAATTTTTAAAGTTTTCTTCTTTTTTTATTTTTGGGGTTTAAAATTTAAAGAAAGATAAGTTTTATTGATAGATATTTAAAAAAAAAAAAAGAAAAAAGACTTAAATTTATCAAATATTTCAATTGTTCTTTAATTAATACCACTTAAATTATAATAAAATTACACCCTGTTTTTTTTATTCTTTTTTCAACAATTTTTGCTAATTTTTATAAAAAATTAAATTTGAAATTCTACGTTTACTTACTTAGAAATTCTACGCTTATTTATTTACTTACTTATTTACTTACTTACTTACTTACTGTATATTTGATAAAGAAAATTACTTGTAGCATCAACCATTGTTGGATAAATATGTCGCATTATATGCAACCGAATTAATTAAACAAATGAAATATGATGAAGCATTGATTACATTTGAAAAATATGGTGCATCTTCAAATTCTAACAATTTTAACATTTATCAAAGACTTATTGAAGAAGTAAGTGAAAATTTTCAATTTTTTTTAATGAAAATTAATTTTGTTTAAATTAATTTCATTTGTTTAAAGTATGAAAAATTATTTAAAAAAAACAAAAAAGTTATAAATATTTTCAATTTAAATTAAAATAGACTGATAATTTTACGAGAATATTTGATAAGTATTAATTTTGAGAAGTGTGCATATTTATATATTCAAAATTATAAAATTGAAAATGAAATCAACTGAAGAAATCAATAATTTCAAATTGAACACCTGTAAATGTAATTTTATTATTATTATTATTTTTACTATTTTAATTTTAATATCTGAAATTAATTGAATGATTAAATGCAATAATAGTTGATCAATCTTTAATATATCTCTTATTTTATTTGAAATTTCATTCAATTTGTAAAAGATAATTCATTTCTGAATTTTTGAACTTAAAATTTTGAATTTAAACCAAGAAGTATTGCGAGATTTTAATTAAATGTAATTTTATTATTATTATTATTATTATTACTATTATTATTATTATTATTTTTACTACTTTAATTTTAATATCTGAAATTAATTGAATGATTAAATGTAATAATAGTTGATCAATCTTTAATATATCTCTTATTTTATTTGAAAATTCATTCAATTTGTAAAAGATAATTCATTTCTGAATTTTTGAACTTAAAATTTTGAATTTAAACTAAGAAGTATTGCGAGATTTTAATTTTTTTTTTTTTTTTAACATTTCCTAATTATAATAAATTATTTGAATCTGTCTGTTAATTAAAATGGAATTTCTTTGAAGTGTAATTATTTTGAAAATTTGAAATCATAAACAAACATTGGTTAGAATTTTGAATATTTATAAATGCAATTAAAAAAAAAAATGAATTAAAAAATTAAATTACTTTTAATATTTAACTCAAATACTACATTTTAAGGTTATTAACGTACGTAATATGAACAATCCAAACGTTTATAGAAAATGGGCAACTTTACGAAATGTTCTTCTTATGGTATGTAATGGTATGAATACTAAAGAGAAGCAAAAAGAGGTAAAAAAATAAAAAAAAATTTTCATCTTTTTTACTTATCATTAAAAGTAATATATTTTATTACTTAAAGTTACATTTAAATTATCTGATAATTTGCATTTGTACAATTAAATTCTTTAATTGATAAATATAATTAAAAATAATTATATTTATCTTATCGAGAATATATTATTTATATCCTTATCAAGATTATCTTACTTATATCCAGGAGATGATAAGAGGATAATTAAAGTACAGTTTTTGGGATTATCTTACTTATATCCAGGTGATGATAAGAGAATAATTAAAACAATATTTTAGAATTATATATATCCAGGAAATGATAAGAGAATAATTGAAGTAATGTCTTAGGTGATAATAGAATAATCAAAATAATGTTTTAGAATTATCTTATTTATATCCAGGAGATGATAAGAGAATAATTAAAACAATATTTTAGAACTATATATATCCAGGAAATGATAAGAGAATGATTAAAGTAATGTCTTGGGGTGATAAGAGAATAATTAAAGTACAGCTTTAAGATTATCTTACTTATATCCAGGAGATGATAAGAGAATAATTAAAGTAATGTCTTAGGGTGATAAGAGAATAATCAAAATAATGTTTTAGAATTATATTATATCCAGGAGATGATAAGAGAATAATTAAAGTAATGTCTTAGGGTGATAAGAGAATAATCAAAATAATGTTTTAGAATTATATTATATCCAGGAGATGATAAGAGAATAATTAAAGTAATGCCTTAGGATGATATGATAAGAGAATAATTAAAATAATGTTTTAGAATTATCTTACTTATATTTAGGAGATGATAAGAGAATAATTAAAACAACATTTTAGAATTATATATATCCAGGAAATGATAAGAGAATAATTAAAATAATGTCTTGGGGTGATAAGAGAATAATTAAAGTACAGCTTGAAGATTATCTTACTTATTAAAATAATGTTTTAGAATTATCTTACTTATATTTAGGAGATGATAAGAGAATAATTAAAACAATGTTTTAGAATTATATTATATCCAGGAAATGATAAGAGAATAATTAAAGTAATATCTTAGGATGATAAGCGAATAATTAAAGTACAGCTTGAAGATTATCTTACTTATATCCAGGAGATGATAAGAGATTAAAACAATGTTTTAGAATTATATATATCTAGGAGATGATAAGAGAATAAAATAATGTTTTAGAATTATCTTACTTATATCCAGGAGATGATAAGAGAATAATTAAAGTAATGTCTTAGGGTAATAAGAGAATAATCAAAATAATGTTTTAGAATTATCTTACTTATATCCAGGAGATGATAAGAGAATAATTAAAGTAATATCTTAGGATGATAAGCGAATAATTAAAGTACAGCTTGAAGATTATCTTACTTATATCCAGGAAATGATAAGAGATTAAAACAATGTTTTAGAATTATATATATCTAGGAGATGATAAGAGAATAAAGTAATGTTTTAGAATTATCTTACTTATATCCAGGAGATGATAAGAGAATAATTAAAGTAATATCTTAGGATGATAAGCGAATAATTAAAATAAAGTTCTTGGGATTATCTTACTTATATTCAGGAGATGATAAGAGAATAATGATTATAGAATAAATAATAAGTAATTTTATTATCGAATAATTTTCAATATTTCAGTTATTTAATAGATATTTGGAGATTGCTCATTATGGTGCATTACGTTCAGCTATTCTCGAATATACTGGAACAGAAATAGAACGTATTGTAGCTCAAATTACGATAAGCTTTATTCGTTATAGTGATATTATGCAAGCTGATAAAGTTTTTTATGAAGCTGGGATGGCATGCAGAGTTTGTCTAATTTTTTAATCATTTATTTTTAATTTAATTCAAACATAATATCTTTATTTTATTTTATTTTCTTTTTTTTTAATTATTTAAGATATTTAAATAATAAACTTTACTATAATTTCTTTCTACAAAAAAAAGGAAAGAACTTAGCAATCTTTAAATCAATCAACAATAAGTTTGAATATAATTAAATTAGCTAAATTAATTGTGAATATATTCCTAATTTTAATACTATTGTTAATAATGATGTTAAATTTTTATTTCATTTTAATTTTTTTTTATTATCAAATTCAAAAATATAAATTTTTTCAATGATTATACAAAAAAAAAAGAAATATGTCTAATTAATTTTGATTATATTTTAAACAAAAATAGCAAATTTATAAATTAAAAAAAGAATATAGTTAAATTAGCTAAATTAATTGTGAAGATATTCCTAATTTTAATACTATTGTTAATAATGATGTTAAATTTTTATTTCATTTTAATTTTTTTTTATTATCAATTCAAAAATATAACTTTCCTTTCGTACTAATCCCGATAAAAACAAATAAATATTTCAATGATTATACCAAAAAAAATATGTCTAATTAATTTTGATTATATTTTAAACAAAAATAGCAAATTTATAAATTAAAAAAAAAAAAAAAAAAAATGTATATTTATTTTTTATCATAGAAATTGGGTACCACAAAAGAACGCTTAGCATTTATACTTTTAAATCATTATCTTGATTTATGTGATGCAATTGATGATCAAAATCCATCAGCTATTGATTGCTCCATTTTTGATGGCACTGATATACCACAACAAATATTACTTCCTGCAACAAAATATACATCTGTAAAGTGTATTTCATACCAATTTTTTCTTTTTTTTTTTTAGAGAATTAATAGAGTTAATTTTATTTTAATATTAAAAGCATTTTTTTTTTTTTTTTGTTTAGCAAAATAAATAATTGTTATTCTATTTTTCTTTTTCTAGCTCTATTAATTCTTATATTTTTCTTTTGTTATTGAAAAATAAAATTATTAAATTTTTAACTTTTCATTTCTAAAATTCTCTAAAAAGTATATAGCATATAATTTGAGCAATTTGAGGATGATGAATATGAAGAAGTAAAAGAATGGGTGTTAGCAATTTCGATGGAGCAAAGTATAGAACGAAATTTACCCTATGATAATGATGGTAATTTTGAAGTAAGCTTATTTGATGCAAATGGTATATCTCATCCAGCATGTCTTATTTCAGGTTTTTTTTTTTGCTCTTTTTTTTTTTGTTTATTTTATTTTAACAATAAAAACATTTTTTTTTTTTTTTTTTTTTAACAAAATATTATTTATGTATGTTATAATCACTACTTGATAAAATTAAATTTTTTACATATGGAAAAATTTCTCCTTTTTTTTTTTTTTTTTTTTGATAATGATAAAATATTTTTAAAATTTATTAAAGGTTATCCAACATATGGAAATGTTAAAGAATTTGGATCATCTGGTAGAGTAGCCGATCGTGATACATGGAGTTGTTTCATTATGGCACAAAAGACAAAATCAACTGAAAATATAAGCGATGTATTACAATTTATAGCAAAATGGACACAAACAACAGCATCATTATCATTGTAAATTTTGCTCATTAATTTATATGCATTTATAATTTTTAAATAAATGCTATTTAAAGATTTCTATAAATCATTGCAAATAAAAGTTGAGAAGCAATCTGTTTAATCAATTTAAGCCATTTTTTCCAAATATTATTTTCTTAAATTGAATTGATATCTAAAAAAAAAAAAAAAAGGTATGATATGAAGCATTTAGAAGTGTTAATAATTTATAAGTCAAATTACAAAAAAGTTTTTTCCTGCTTAACTACTTAACTAATTTTAGTTATATAAGAATGAATGATTATAACTGTTTGATCGGAAATATCCTTAATGACATTTAACATCCAAATCCTTTGGAATAAATTTGTTGAAATTTTTCTTTTATGATTTCCGATAATCGTTTATAAAAGCTTTTTAGCAAAACTTATACAACTAAAGCCATTTTATTTGATAAGAAAAAAAAAAAAAAAAAAAGAAAGAAAAACTGTACTCAGGAAAAATAATGCTTGTGGTGTAGTTTAGTTAAAATTAGCTTTATTCACTTGAATTAGTTAAAATTAGCTTTATTCATTTATTTTGAAAAAATTTCAGATAAATTTTTAATCCATCATGAAAAAATTTTGTTGCATTTTTGTTCTCTTCTTCTATCACTGTCTACGAAAACAACACATTATAAGTAATATCATATGAAGGATTAATAAATATCGTACAATTAAATAAATAAATAAATAAATTAATGGAAGAAACATCATGAGGTAGTTAGATCAAAGTAATTGCACATATAAGAACTTCACTGAGAAAGATGACGAACAAGATACCTTACATTCTCATAGGTTACATATGTAACAATAACGTTTGGTAGCTGACGTAAGTTGCCCATGAGTAAACCTTTATAAAATCCACGTACACCTTCCATTCTATATGTTTTGCTTATCAAATCATATATTCCATTATATTGTGCATGATGATCCTATAAATATAAAACTGTTTCTATATTATAAAAATAAATATGAAAAAAAAAAAAAAAAAAGTAACAAAAACTAACCTTAACATACTTTGAACTTTCATTTACTTATAATAATTAAAAATTATTACTAATATTTACCTGTAATCGAGTTCGTAGCACTTGGTATGGGAATGTTATTGTTGTAGAAATTACTTTGGATACAGCTGAATATACCAAGCAATCAACAGTACTCTGAAAAAAAAAAAAAAACAAAATTTCTTAATTCCCCATGCAAATTGAATACTCCAAATGCATTATAATTCCTTTGCAATAACTACTATTAACAATAAACGATCAAATTATTGGCACCATCTTTGCTATAGCTCCAAAAACTGCTGTAAACATTTATTAAATAGGTTTAGAATTTGGAATCGATCAGAAAGCGATTGAGAATCGTATTAAGAATTTGTTACATAGAAGAAATATATGAAAACAAACCAAAATATGATTAGCAGGCAGATCTAAACGTTTTAATCGATTGTCCTTGAAACGATTGTAAAGCATAAACTGGATTGCACCATGTATGGTTCCAACAACTCCTGGTGTAAAACCCTAAAATACTTGAAAAAATAAGCCAATGCAATTGATATAAAGAATGAAAGGAAATATCCTACTACAAAAATATGCGTTATCAATCATTTGATAACTAAAATTCACTACAAAAATTCCCCATAACTTTCATAAAATATTTATTTCTTCAGTTAATCCGTAATGTGCTACTATCCAACAAGTTATCCATATCATTACCTGAACAACAACTAAAATTCACTACAAATTCCCCATAACTTTCATAAAATATTCATTTCTTCAGTTAATCCGTAATGTGCTACTATCCAACAAGTTGTCCATATCATTACCTGAACAACAACTAAAATTCACTACAAATTCCCCATAACTTTCATAAAATATTCATTTCTTCAGTTAATCCGTAATGTGCTACTATCCAACAAGTTGTCCATATCATTACCTGAACAACAACTAAAATTCACTACAAATTCCCCATAACTTTCATAAAATATTCATTTCTTCAGTTAATCCGTAATGTGCTACTAACCAACAAGTTGTCCATATCATTACCTGAACAACAACTAAAATTCACTACAAAAATTCCCCATAACTTTCATAAAATATTCATTTCTTCAGTTAATCCGTAATGTGCTACTATCCAACAAGTTATCCATATCATTACCTGAACACCTTACTTACTCTATGGCATTATCACTTCAGGAAGCCTTACTAATTTGGCCTAAAAAATGCTTAAATAAAGCAACGAATCACAATCAAATGAAATTCTTTTTTTTTTTTTTTCTAATCATTCCTTTATCCTCAACATTCTGCTAACAAAAATTATCAGAATAGAAAGTTATATCCTCATAAACGTTAAAAATTTTGGTAATTTTTCCTCCAAGATTTAAATAAAAATTTAAATCTTTATACCTATTGGTTTAAATTATTTCTTCTCAGCCTTTTTTTTTTTTAATAAGCATTTTCTTTTGGTCATGAATTGTGATGAAAAAATTTAAAACATTTAAACAAATAATAAAAAGAAAAAGAGTGAAAAAAGGACAAACTCTGTATAACGCAGTAATTCCTTCATTACGAGCAACTGTAGAAATACAGTCCAAAAGTCCTCGATATCTGATTCTTTCATTTTCATATTGTAAGCATAATCGAGTTTTTGCCATCCAAATGGGATTAGTGAACAGTAAAATACCAGCTCCAGTAACCATTCCCATCAGGACATTATCCACCGGTTCTGCTCCGGTTGAAATAGTTTTCTCAACACATAATCTTTTGATAATATGATAGCTATAATAAAACAATTTAATTATACTAAAAAAAAAAAAAGACTAATGGAACTTTAATTCGGATTTAATGGATAACATTCTATATCCCTAAAATTTATTGCAATATCAAAAAGTATAATTCTGGATATTTTTCGCAACGTTCAACAAATAAAACTACAACTGCTAATTTACCTTAATCAATTTAATATTAACTAAAACTTAATCATAAAGGTGCAAGACATGAAATGTGATCTTTATTAATTATAAGCAATCTTGAAACATTTCAAATGCTAATGAAAACCATAGTTTGTTGCATTAACATAATACCATTCCTAAATTTAAAGTTTTTTTTCAGCGAATACCTGAGCATAACGAAAAACATGAATGCTGTTAAGATCATATCAGTTTAAAAAAAAGCATTTCAACAAGAATTAAACTTACAACTGAAAATAAAGTCCCCAAGATACAGCGGATCCAACCAAATTCGGTGATAGACCTTGATATAAACCTTTATATCCTTTAGATTGTATAATACTCCGCGCTGCATGCCAATAATTACGATATTGTGGACGTTGACGATTACCATCATTAGCTGCAATGATAATCTATCAGATATCATAAAACAATGAAATATGTAATAAAATTGTTGCTAATACCAATCTTAGAATGTATGCCTAGCATAAAATGATAGATTTTATAAGTTCTTCCGATTGCTAAAAAAAAATTTGCTAAATTTTTCAAAAAAACAAGAGCGGAAGAATCAGATTTTGATACTCTAAAATCTACCTTAAAATACTCAATTATGTTACTGATCCTATACAATAGATTATTGTATAATAAAACTTGATGTATAAAATTCAAAACTTTCATGCGTATATTTTAAGCACTCTAAGTAAAACAGCACTTGTATATTTGCACTCATATATATTTTCAAGTTGTCAAATTTGAGATTACATCATGAAGTATAGCTAGAACTCCTTACATTCATCTCATTTGAAACAATGCATATGCAAATGAAATGTACCACAATAGCACACAAAAGAAAACATTCATGTGATAATGCATTAAAATTTCACTATTACATCAAATATTCGAGAATTAGATAATTTGCTGAACTAATACAAATACTCGAGAATTAGATGATTTGTTGAACTAATACAAATACTCGAGAATTAGATGATTGCTGAACTAATACAAATACTCAAGAATTAGATGATTTGCTGAACTAATACAAATACTCAAGAATTAAATGATTTGCTGAACTAATACAAATACTCGAGAACTAGATGATTTGCTGAACTAATACAAATACTCGAGAATTAGATGATTTGCTGAACTAATACAAATACTCGAGAATTAGATGATTTGGTGAACTAATCACATAATATACATACACATATTAGATCTATGTATGTATAATGAAATTTATTCAAATAAAAAAAAAAGGCAAAATATTACAGAATAAAATAAAATGAATGGAGAACGTAAATTTTGATTTACATATACATTGATTTGTAACAGATTCAATAAAAAAAAAAAAAAAAAAAAAAAAAACTCAATGAATTACATGTTTAACCATTTTTTTTTAAAAAAAAAAAAGTATTAACTATTAACTAACCGGAATATCGTATTCTGAGAAGATCTAATGGATGACATGCAATAGTGCTTATTATACCACCGGTGAAGCCACCAATCAGATGTTCATATTTTTAAAAAAAGTATTAACTATTAACTAACCGGAATATCGTATTCTGAGAAGATCTAATGGATGACATGCAATAGTGCCTATTATACCACCGGTGAAACCACCAATCAGATGTTCATATTTTTAAAAAAAGTATTAAGTATTAACTAACCGGAATATCGTATTCTGAGAAGATCTAATGGATGACATGCAATAGTGCTTATTATACCACCGGTGAAGCCACCAATCAGATGTTCATATTTTTAAAAAAAGTATTAACTATTAACTAACCGGAATATCGTATTCTGAGAAGATCTAATGGATGACATGCAATAGTGCTTATTATACCACCGGTGAAGCCACCAATCAGATGTTCATATTTTTAAAAAAGTATTAACTATTAACTAACCGGAATATCGTATTCTGAGAAGATCTAATGGATGACATACAATAGTGCTTATTATACCACCGGTGAAGCCACCAATCAGATGTTCGTATTTTTAGTATTAACTATTAACTAACCGGAATATCGTATTCTGAGAAGA